TGTATGTATATTAGTATGAGACATCCCCTCTGGGCATTTTACTGGTGGGGACTTGAGGTCAGTCGACAGTGGATTTTTAAATAGTTAAGATAGAGCAGGAAAAAGCTGATTAGTCGGCCAATGACCCCCACCCCCAACCATGCATGATGTGCTTTACATCTGCAGCAGCCTAGTCAGTGACTTTTGTGTGCTGTTTAAGCACGTCACTCTAAATTTAATTGTAAGTAAGTAATCCTGAAGTGTGATTTAATGGATTAAGTAGTGGGAATATACCTGTTTATGAGCGATGTGCTCCTTTGTGGCTAATTTATGAGAAGATTTAATTTTGTTGCACCTCTTGTTACATTGTTAAATACCAGCCTACAAACCATAAATGTTATATTCCCACAGTAAGGAGCATCATGAAGTGTAAAATTTAATTTAATTTCATGAATAGTAGCTGAATTATTTAAAGCCAAATTGGTATTTTGGCTACTCTTGGATGAGTTAAATTAAAATAAAATCATTGATACCAGGGCCGTGGTAATAAAAATGAATTCATTGAAACTCACTCAGGGCATTTTAATTAAAGTTTTGTACAAGGCCTGATCCATCTGCAGATAGTATTGCTTTGCATACAGACTATGCAGTAGCAACCTGTGCTGAAGCCTACAAACCTACTCTACTCTCCTGAGTGTATATAGTAAGAATTGTTGCATGCCAGTATAAAGCATTGGTTTGGTCTGATATGTTGTTATCCCAGATGTGCAAGAGTTTGACTGCATGTGTGGCTCAGTCCTAAGCAAAGACAGGAAAAGTGCATGAAAGCTGCATCTCTCGGCAGAGGAACTGATGAAACGTAGACCGACACAACACACTCATCCTCGAGCCTGTCAGCACACACGCCCTGCAGACAGCTGGATTAACCCGCGTGTTGGGGACAGCCAAGGAACATAGTGCATTGTCAGAGCAGGCTTGTTTGAAGGGGTGAAGCAGAGTTCACAGAGCGGTAATGTAAACTCACAGCCTCGGCTCGCTGCTCGTCTCTGCTCGCCGGATGGCCTGGCTCAGTATCTCACTGGATCTCTTTTGTTGCTGCACTGTTTGTGGTACAGAAATTCAATATGTTGATATCTGGACGGCTTTGTCTTTGAGAAAAAAGGATTCAGAGTCAAGGTTCCCACGCATCCTGGAAAAGCTGGAAATTTAGAGACTAGTTTTCCAGTCATGCAAACACTGGGGAATTGATACCTGGAAATGTTTGTATGTTAGCCCCCCACTCAGATCGTCTTCGTAAACTTAGGTGTGTATTTAGTTTGAAACTTGACTGTTGGTTGGATAAACTGGATGACACTTCAAACAGGTTTACCAGATGTAAAGTGGAACTGACTGCACTCATCTCTTCGGCATCAATTTATTTATTTTTTTCAGAGCTGAACTGAAAAAAGATTCAGTAACACTTTCCATGTCTATGTTGCATTATAAACATGCTTATATTGCGTTATACTGTGCTTATGGCAATGTATAGTTATAGTTGGAGCACATATTCATAACAGTGTTTCCTCTAGGATTTTTTTTAGCAGCGGCCCGTCCGAACACCCCGTCCGTCCGTCCGCCCCACCAGCAGACGTTTTACGTATGAAACAGAACTGACACAAACAAATATATTTACCGTTTTGATGTTTCCAGATGTTTGATATCAGGAGCTGAGAACTGACAAGTTGAACGTTGTCCAATTAAAACGGACCCACCGCGGTGACGTTTTTGGTGGAGCTGTTAGTTTAATATTCGACTTGGAAGAAAGTGAACGTTTTGACATTAAGCTACATCAACAGTATGTGGAATTAAACTGGATCACCTCTGAATAGTTCTACTTGTTGTTAAATTGCAATGTGAGCGGCAGCCAACGGGGGTGCATTATGTCGGCAGGATCATTTAAAAGGCAGCCGTGACTACATTGTGCGTGTGCCCCATTTCTGATACCGTGGCGGCAGAAATTTAACAGCGGCGGGCCACCGCTCCAAAATCAACATAGAGGAAACACTGCATAATGCTTTATAACTGACATAACGCCTTATAAAGCATGGTCACTCACCTTCACACTCTTCATCTTATATTCTCATAGGTGTAATACATTATAACAATTTTATATGGCATTATAATCAGTTATCCAACAGAGAAGCCAACAAGCCAACAATCTTTAATCATTCAATCATAAGCATCAGTTAAATTGTGCTCTGTTTTATTACTTTTAGTAAGTTGTCTAGTCTAAATTCGAATATTGATATTAATGATTTATTTTGAATTCTCAATTGATGGGCTTTAACTAGAAAAACTAAATGAACATCTGAAAATTCAGAATTGTTTGTGTTAACAAGTGATGTCAGATTGGTTTAGCTCGGAGCTATAGAATATTAAATCAACCATTTTGCTCACTTACATCTTAGACTTTCTGCCCTTGTTGCCAAGTGCTTGCTCATGGTGGTACTGTTGGGTCTCTGTAAATAATGTGATAAAGAGTTCGGTCTAGACCTGCTCCATTTGAAAAGTGTCCTGAGATAACTTCTGTTATGAATTGGTACAGTTGGTGCTCCATTGACAGTTCAGAGTAGACATTTACCACGCGGACAATTACTCAAAACAAAGCTTTCTATGGAAAAGGGCAAAACTTGACAACCCTTCATACAGCCGTGGAACTCTCAAACATCTCTCGAAACTCTGTATAGAAAAGGGAAAACTTGATGATCTTCCAGGCGGTCGCTTAACTCACAAACATCTCTCAAAACTCCTCCCACACCTGTTCTCACTCTGTCTCTTAATTCAATTCAATTTTATTTGTATAGCGCCAAATTCATAACAGTTATCTCAGGACACTTTTCAAATAGAGCAGGTCTAGACCGAACTCTTTATAACATTATTTATAACAGACCCAACAGTACCACCATGAGCAAGCACTTGGGGACAAGGGCAAGGAAGAACTGCCTGTTAAAAGGCAGAAACCTAGGACAGATCCTTCGGCTCTAGGTGGGTGGTCGTCTGTCTCGACCAGTTGGGGTGAGAGACAGAGAGAGACAGAGACAGAGAGACAGACAGGTGCACAGCAACAACAGTATTGGCAATGGCAATCTAGCAGGACCATGGCAGGAGGCTCCACCAGGATCGATAAGAACCTGCGAGACGAGAAAGCACAAGAACTCCGGGGAAGAAGTGAAGTTAGTAACATGCATTAATGGAACATGAATGAGTGCAGAAAGAAAGAGGAAGAGAGGAGCTCAGTGCACCATGGGAAATCCCCCGATAGTCTAGGCCTATAGCAGCATAACTAAGGGATAGTTCAGGACTCACCTGATCCAGCCCTAACTATAAGCTTTATCAAAGAGGAACATCTTAAGCCTACTCTTGAATGTGGTGAGGGTGTCTGCCTTCCAAACCACAACTGGAAGCTGGTTCCACAGGAGAGGAGCTTGGTAACTGAAGGCTCTGGCTCCTGTACTTTTAGAGACTATAGGAACCACAAGTAGCCCAGCATTCAGAGAACGTAGTGTTCTAGAGGGGTAATAGGGTACTATGAGCTCTTTAATATATGAAGGGGTCTGACCATGAAGAGCTTTATAGGTGAGGAAGAGGATTTTAAATTATATTCTACATTTTACAGGGAGCCAGTGCAGAGAAGCTAGTACAGGAGAGATGTTATCTAGTGTCTTAATGGACTTACTGGGGCAGCCTGATAATAAAGAGTTGCAGTAATCCAGCCTTGAAGTAACAAATGCATGGATTAGTTTTGTGTCTAATTTTTGTAATATTACGTAAATGAAAGAAGGCAGTCCTGGAGGTTTGCTTTATGTGGGAGTTAAATGACAAATCCTGATCAAAGATAACTCCAAGATTCCTGACAGTGGTGCTAGAGGCCAAGGTAATGCCATCTAGAGTAACTATATCTTTTAGACAGTGAGTCTGTAAGGTTTTTGGGGCCAAGAAGAAGAATTTCGTTTTTTTCTGAGTTTAACATCAGAAAATTGCAGCTCATCCAGGATTTTATGTCTTTAAGACGTTTGTAATTTAGATAATTGATTAATTTCATCAGGCTTGATCAATAGATATAACTGCGTATCATCTGCATAACAGTGAAAGTTAATGGAGTGATTCCTAATAATGTTGCCTAAAGGGAGCATATATAAAGTAAATAGTATTGGTCAAAGTACAGAACCTTGTGGAACTCCATGACTAACTTTAGTATTTATTGAAGATTCATCGTTAACATGAACAAACTGCGAACGATCTGATAAATATGACTTAATCTGGCACGCACCTTTCCAACTAGCACCGGCTTTGGGACTAGGTTAAGCCCACCCTCTAGCCTGACAGCCATCTATCCAGCCAATAGGGAAATAGTGTGCCCTGACAGTAATCTGTCGATCATTTTATTAGTTTAGTTTATTAGTTGTTTGGTCCATAAAATGTCAGAAAAACGGATAAGAAAGTTGATCCAAAGTCCTCAATGTCTTGTTTAGTCTACAACCCAAATATATTCAGTTTACTGTCATAGAGGACTAAAGAAAGTAGAAAATATTCACATATGAGAAGCTGGAATTAAAGAACTTGGACCTTTCTTCTTAAACAATTAATAGTTGCAGCTCTGCTTACACGACATGAGCTGACACATGCAACTGAGCTATTCATGTGCAAGTTCAGGAGAATTCTGGAATCTAAAAATGGGGTCATGGTCCAGAAAAGATTGAGAAACCCTGCAGTAACCCTGCAGTAACCCTGCAGTAATCCTGTAATCCTGCTTTAGCCTTTGCTCTGTTTGGAAGCATGTACAGTGTTTGTGCATGGCTCAGCCTCCATGGTGTCAAAACATAACTGTTTTGTTATAATTATGCAGATGGTTGGTGGTCATGCTAAATGTACCACTGTAAGGATATCATTGACTCAACTGTGTGTGTGCAGAAACATAGGCTGTAATGTAGATAAATGGATAATCTTAACCACAATTCGGACATTTTTCTCTCCTGCTTCAGGTATTCGAGTGTTGGTGGACGCTCGAGAGAAGCTTCTCATCCCATGGGGCCAACCGTTGAACCAGCACCACGGAGACACCGTGATGGCGTTTGACACCCGGTCGGCGATGGCCCACGGTCACGGCATGGTGGAACAAAAGGTTTTCCAGCACTACCTGCCATCTATCCGGGCCCTGTGGGCCGACGAGGGCATCCAGAATGCCTACGACCGCCGGCGAGAGTTCCAGCTGGTGAGTGAGAGCATAACTGCAGACCAAGTGTGCTTATTGGATTTCTGGTGCAATCCTTGATGCTATATATGAGTTCTTAGGGTTGAGGGCAGAGGTGTGTGTATCTCTGACCCAAGTTTAAAGTTGCCCTCCGACCTCTGCTTCAGTGTTTGTTGCAGAGTTTGACGTCCATAAGGCAGTTTGCGTGTACAGAAGAGCATTGACAGTAGCAGATAAAGGCTCTTCCTCACAGTGGATGGGGCAGAGCTGCAGCTGCTGAGTGCACACAGACAGACACAGACAAGCTAATGAAGGGCTGCTTCTCTCTCTGCCTCCCCACGCCCTTCCTTCCTCCATCTCACCCTCACTGCTCTCTCCACAAGTTTAGATTGTGGTCTAGCAGCGTCTTGCTCACAGGAAAATGATCTGTAAATGTCCTGTGGGGAAATCGGCTCACCAAGCATCTGTTTGGAACGGCTGAGATTCAAAGAGCGGTCGGCACACTGTGTGTTCTAATGTTACTAATTTTCTGATGATCTTGTCTATAAGCTGTCCTCTGGATGCTACTTCATCTGAGAGCATGGGTTCACACCAGGGTTGCGAATATCAATAAGTTCTTGCCAGTACCGGTATAATTAATGTGCCAGATTACATGCTCTAGTTTAGCTTTTAAAAATATTAAAGACTAGGCTATCTCAATATGTGACAACCGCAATGTATCTTTCTTTGTGTGTCTGCATCAGTAAAACCCATGGTTACATCGATTATTATATAGTTTATCTCCTCTGCACCCGTGTTTTCGAGGCGCCTTGAAAGCACCATCACTATCTTTTTGCACGGCGTCGCAGACGCAGTTAGTTAGTAAACAGAAAAAATGTAGGGAAGCGACACAACAGGTGAAGACGAGATATTAAGCGTACCTTGGACGACACACAAGTCCAAGACCTCTAGTTGATATACCTCAGTGTGAGTGATGTTTACAGTTGCTGTGGCTGTCAGTCAATAGTTTAATTTTTTACACTTACATTTGTAAGTTGTTTGTTGTCGCAATTGTTCTGTTATATTGTTAAATAAATCTCAATGATTTCTGCTCTCACTGCTCAGTTAGCCAACTAGAAGAGTGTCAGCTCAAGCACATCAGTCTGGCAGCAGTAGTATGGGCACTGCACTATGATGAGGTTATTTGCACAATGCACATTGTTGATGTTGGGAAGTTTTATAAGTGTTTTGTAAAACATTGTGAAATTACAGACAGAGAACACTATTAGTAAAAGGACCTGAGAAAAGGACTGTTTGTTTTGTTTTTTTTATGAAGAGGCCAAAAAGAAATTGCCCAAATACAATACATTTAGTGTTGTATAAGTAGAGAATGAGATTAAAAACACATGTAGTGAAAAAAATATTTTTTGTTTCTGATTTAGTGTTTATTAGGAATAAAACAATCCTCTGTCTGTACCATATTGAATTGCATCTTCTTAAGTTGGATTTATTGGTTTGCTTTATAGAAAACAATCAAGTATCAAATACATTAGAAACCAGATGTGGGCTTGTAAATTCTTTGTATTGTGTTGAATCGGTTTGAATCGCATCATGAATCGTATCGAACCGAATCGCATTGTATAAAGTCAAATCGTTGTCAAATCATTAATGAATCGTATCGCATCGTGAACAGAGGTGAATCGTATCGCATCGTGAACAGAGGTGAATCGTATCGCATCGTATGGGCAGGGGGCTCCACTCTATCGTTAATGTATCGTATCGCTGGCAGCGTATCAAGATGTGTGTCAAATCGGCCTCAGTGGTGGGGATTCACATCCCTAATCTGGACCGCTTTGACTTTGACAAAAAATGATTCAACGTCAGCTGGAAAAGCCCAAAAAACACATCTCGCGTCGATTGCGTATATAGTTGCACTGTGACTGTCTCCAGAGCTGATCACACCCATTCTAAGCAATGCTTTAAATTCTACCAGAAGCCGATCTGCGGGTCTATTTTTGATGTTAATGTTGGACATTATTCACTATTAGACATGATTCATTGAGAGAATAATAATGGTTAATGAAAATATAGAAGCAGAATATATTTTGAGGTCTGATTGTGACAGACTACTACTGTCCAGCTACATGTACAGTATATACTGTATTAGCTCTGTACATTTAGAGCGGGCATAGTGAGTTTGTTTTCCCACTCAGTAGTGTTGAGGGGGTGGTATCACATGAAAAAGTGACGTTGATGCAACTCACTTCCATATTGACAGGGAAGTGAGTTAGGGCCATGTGAAATACAACATTAAAGGAGATTAGAATTCAGAGGAAAAGTCACTCTCTCTCTTTCTCTCTCTCTCTCTCTTTCTCTCAGGGGGAGTCAGTCAAGTATTTCCTGGACAATTTGGAAAAGCTCGGACAGTCGGTAAGTTCCACCCACGCTGCAGAGGTTCCACCAGTCACAGATCCCCAGCAGGCAGGATGGTAGATGGCAGATGGGTGTGATAGCACTCAGCTAGTTAGTTGAAAAGAGAAGTGAAAGCGTAGTCTTCCTGTCCTCAGTCTCCACACTGGTTTGTTCCAGCGTACGCTTACTATAACTGAGCTAAAACAGAAGTTTCCCTGCTTACTCAGTTCATCCCCCACCCAGGCTCCTATTGGCCAATCAATCAATCTTTTCTTAGAAACAAGGGAAATTACTCTTAAGAGAATCTGTGTGGGAATATACAGCAAGAAGTATCTGTGGAAGTGCTTTATCATACTCTCAAATGACTTGCATGGACTGTGCATGAACATTGCTAAAAACTATAGTTTATTTTTTATTATGAAGACATTATAATTCCTATTAAACTGCTAGCCGAGTGTAAAACCAGGCAGCCAGGAAGGGACTGGCTGTAGATATTAACTGGTATTTACATCAGCTAATAGAACCAAGTGTGCTTTACACACACTTGACCTCCCTGTCCTGTACTGTCCAGAAACTCCTGTCCTGGAGTGTGCTTTACGCCCCTACCCCGGCGCGGCCCATTGCTGGGGGTCTGTGCCGCCGGCCCCGCTCCCACCTGTGTTTTTTTGCCGGGTTTGGCTCCTGTCATCCCGGGGCTGAGCAAACCTTACCTTGCTGCATGCTAACTAACTTGGGCATAAGTTTGGTTTCAAAGGTGGGCGCATACAAAGAGGTTATTTCAATATAAATATATATATTTATATTGGAATATATATAAATTACATGAAGGTTATTTTCTCCATTTATATGAATGGGTCTGTGCCAGCGATGAGTGATCACCTCTGGAATGTAATAATTGGGAATAATGTTTCATCACATATGCTCCCAAACAGTTAAAGATGCATTTGCTTTAATTTTCCTTGTGTCATTGCTAAAAAGCACTAAGCGCAAACACACTCACACACACACACACACACACACACACACACACACACACACACACACACACACGCTGTTCAATCTGTTTATGCACTGTGGTATTTGGGGAATGCAGAGTGTTAAACAGGGATGTCCCCAAAGAAACAACTTAACTCTGTTATTTTCACTGTGCGTGGGGGGGGGTGCGTGCGTGCGTGCGTGCGTGCGTGCGTGTTCTCTTGAAGATATGTACAAGAAAATGTATCAGAATTGAAGATACTTAAAGATCCCTTCCAGACATGTATTAAGTCACATTTCAAAATAATCTGCTTTCAACAATAATGTGTGCCTGAAATGTAAGGGTATAATAATTAATTATTATAATTTCCAGATTTTTAATTCTTAAAAAGTCATCTAGTCTTTTTTTGACTCAAAATGTGTAAACACAGTTTAAACATTGTGTTACTGAATATGCCAGTTTCAATGTATATGTTGGATAATATTATTATAAAAAAATAATACATCTGTTTGCAGGACTACCTGCCCAGCCAACAGGACATCCTCCTGGCCAGAAAGCCCACTAAGGGCATCCACGAGTACGACTTTGAGATCAAGAATGTGCCCTTCAAGATGGTGGACGTGGGCGGTCAGCGCTCCGAGAGGCGGCGCTGGTTTGAATGCTTCGACTCGGTCACTTCCATCCTCTTTCTTGTCTCCTCCTCCGAATACGACCAGGTGAGTCAGCTGGAACACAAACACAGGCCGTAGAACACCTGAATGTCGCAGAATGACGCTATTCTACTGAAATAGACTAACATTTCCAAGGAATCAGTTCACTGCCGAATCCCTACACTTGAGAAATAGAAGTGCCTGGAATTTGCATTTGTATTCCCTGCTGAACAGTTTAGTTCCAGGAACTCAGGCAGAGAACAGTAGAAACCAGCAAAATCTGTGGCAAAGGCTTTTTTAAGTTCTTGCAGTGGGAAGGGGCTATCCGACAGATTTGTCATTGTGCTCATACCAGACCCACACAGTCATAATCACCTTTGACCCCAGCACACATTTCTGCACTCTTTTGACATCTCCAGGTGCTGATGGAGGACCGGCAGACCAACCGGCTGAGCGAGTCCCTCAACATCTTCGAGACAATCGTCAACAACCGGGTTTTCAGTAACGTCTCCATCATCCTGTTCCTGAACAAGACAGACCTGCTGGAGGAAAAGGTGAAGCAGGTGTCCATCAAAGACTATTTCCCAGAGTTCTCGGGCGACCCCACGAGCCTTGCAGACGTCCAGCGCTTCCTGGTGGAGTGCTTCCGCAAGAAGCGTCGCGAGCAGCAGCAAAAGCCACTGTACCACCACTTCACCACGGCCATCAACACTGAGAACATCCGGCTGGTGTTCCGCGACGTCAAGGACACCATCCTGCACGATAACCTCAAGCAGCTGATGCTGCAGTGAGGGGACTGACCGGGAGGAGGAGGAGGAGGGATGGGTGGAGGCAGACGCAAAGTGGGTGCCATGGTGCCTTTTTCCTTACCCCTCACCGCCACCCCCAGCCCGTAAGGGGAGCGGGCAGTGTCCCTCCACCCATGCATCCTCCTTCCTTGACTTGGACCCACTCCTCACCTTTGAACTTTGACTGTGTATTAAAGCCACTACTACTACCGCCATTCCCCCCACGCTTGCTCTCTGCCTTACTGAGCTTGTTCACTGTGACTTATAACAGCTGCCTTTGGCTCAGAGCCCCAAACCACTGTAAATGACCTCTAACCCCCACTCTCTGACCCCCCCCTCGCACACTCACCAGTCCACATTGTGCAGTGGACCATCTTTCATGTGTTGTTCTAATTAACATCCAAACACTGTCCTTTTCTTCTATGCTGCTCGGACCACTGTTGCTAGGGAGGAAGAGGGGGAGGGGCTTGTGTTAAATCATTGTTACTGAGTAGCCATTGAAGCTGCCGACAGACGACGACGACGACATCCGAGCCTGTCGCCAGGTGTCTGCTTCCTCTTCAGAACTTCTTTTGTTTTTATTCTCTCTGGTTTTACATCTGCTCTCCTCTGGCACTTGGTGATGACATCACTGGGCTGGGCTGGGGATTTCCTCTTTGGGCAGTGGAACAGGAAAGAACAGGGCTAGCACACACACACACACACACACACACACACACACACACAGATAGGAATTCCTGTTCTGAGGTCCACTTAATTCTGGTTTTCTAATCATTTTGTTTCTTTTTCTAATATATGAATATACTGTATGGACCTATGCATTTTTCTTTAACTTAAATTTTATAGGGGTTTACACTTTGTGGATTTGTGACAGCCGGTGGACTCTGTTACAGTTAATTAAAGGGGAGGGTGGGCGAAAACACAAAGACCACTTGTAAGCTCAGTCGCCGTGCTATAAGGCTAGCTAGTGCAGGGTGACAGGTTGCGTTTTGCTGTTTCTCAGGGCACATTGTGAGCCACTTCTTTGAACTCTCTGTCTGCCACTCCACACGAGTTCCATGATGTCGTTTCTCTGTAAATGCTAGCAGAGACGTCTCCTTACGCTTTAGAAGCAGAACTCTGGCCATCCTCAACCAGGACTGTATTTTACCATCAGGGTCTGGACACACCTCATGACCCCATTTAACATGTGGTCTGTATCTACATGCGTTATGTGGATAATTACATCTGCATTTGCACCTGGATTTCATACGCCTTGTCGTTATTTTAATTCTGTCCACATCATGCTCGGCTCTCAATATGCACACAAGGGTCACAGCACTCAGAACCACTGTTGGGCCCTTTTGCACCAACACAAACCTCGTGCTAGTTCTGGGCTGCTACTGGTTCAACATGCACTCCTTCCAACAACCGCTTTGCTTTTGAACAGTACTCTAAGTCACCTTAGACCCATGTCAGTACATCACTGTATACTTCTTAAATGTTAGCCATTGTTACCAAGGTTACGCTAGCTAGTGAGCTGTTGGTCCGCTAACATTACCCAAACAAGCATTAGCTTGCATTTGTCACGTGAATGTTATTAAGGTTGAACAAAAAGTTTGAATTTCTGGTTAATATTAGGAACAAAACATCGGTGTGAGAAATGAGTAGCTATGCTTGCTTGGGTAATGTTAGCTGACCAACAGCTAGCTCTAGCTCCACTAGCCAGCTAGCTCACTGTTATCGTTCATATAATTGAGTGGCTCGCTGAACAGGTAATAAATACATAGCTGACTGACCACAAGGCTCCCCTGGTGTAAGGGCTTCTTGGTTTAGACCAGTGGAGTGTTGGAACCAGTTTTCCTGGCTGAAAGTTCTTCAGCTGTCAAAACACGAAGAACTGTTTCCAAATCAGGAACCTGCTCCGGACTGGCCCTCAGACTGCGTTGGTGGGAAAGGACTATGAGTCAGAGTACAGTAGGCCAAGACCAAGCCTCTGGCCCGACACACGGTGCTTGGAACCGTGAAGATATCCCACCACCACAGACCACACTGTGGTGGCGCACCTAGCGTAGCATCCCCATTGCTATGTCTTCATGTTTCCTGTACGCACTGAATGTCTCCCTATCCAGCTATCACAATACAGATACAGACCACATGTTATCACAAGGCTATGGCATTCTTTTTTTATCTTTCTTGTTTTGCTACGTCTTCTATCTGATAGGATCGAAAATCAAGCACAAGCTCCTGTAAGGAGACCGAGAAGGTCTTGAAAGGTATCCTGTGTGTTTTGGCCACGCCCACTGTGTCAGTAGAAAGCAGCATAATCAGTAAACTGAAAGCGGGGATCGTGGTGTCTGTTGGCTGCATTAGAAAGCTGCCAAATCGATCATCCCAAAAAATATTTAAGGTGAATGGAGATCCAGGAGTTTCCAAAAATACAAGACGTGTCAGCCTGAGGTCTAACAGTCTCATTTCAAAGCTTGGGAAAAGGTCAAATGAAACGGTTGGTTAAACAGTGATAGATGATGTGGTCCAGGTTGAAAATGGCCAAATTTATACTGAAGCCCTGTGGAATGTCACATCCAAGCCTGTAGGTTTTATCTCTCCCCCAGAGACCAGGAAGGAAGTAAAACTGTAGGATTACCACCTTAAAGTGTTCTGTGTTATACCACAAGTTATGAGGTGGCTCTGCCTTTCTTTGGTTGTCTCGGATTGTTCTAATTTTCTAAAAAGGTACCCGTTAATTCTGTCCGTCTGCCCCTGACATGCACCCTAAGTTGAAAACAAAAGGGATAAAGCCAGCCTGTATGTCACTAATGAACCTGAGCAGCTGCTGTCTGCCGGCACTGCTGTCTACAGCTCATGTACAGTCCTCTGACCTCCTTCCCTAATGTCTAATGTATCAGTATGTATCTCACACATTTGTACGTATGACCATGAGTGTTATTTTCTGTTTCTTTTCCCCTTTTTTTGGATGGTGTTTATTTAAAACAGAAGCAGGCGGTGGTCTGGTGGCCTGTCTTAAGGTGTTTCTGGAGACAGTCCCATTACTCAGCTTCTTCCGGTTGTGTTGAGACCCCAAACACCAAAGTCCTCCATGCACCCCGCAGATTACTGGCTCCACTGTTCCACTTATATACATACGGATATAACACAAGTTTTAAAAGTAATGCGATTGGTTTTATTGAGCTGTTACATCTTGCCGGTTATAAACCAGATTCACAGAAGAGGGTTTAGTGTTTTCAAAAAGGGCATAATCATGTGTTTGCATGGGAGCACAGAGCTTCTACATACATCAGCATAGCCATATGAAGTAGTTTTATTTTGTCTTGTCTTTATAGATATGGTTGTATGCTCCAATCACAGTTAAGCCTCTGTCAGCCTCCTTTCCTGTACTGAGATTGAAAAGACAACCATGTTTTGCATAACTTGCCTACAGAGATGGCATCAGTGAGAACTATGAACTATCTGGTTAGCACGAGAAACTTGAGAAAAGTTTTTGCTCATGTAATGACCTGACTACTGTCGGTCGCAGGCTCTTGATCAGTGTAATACCTGGATCCTTAAGTTACTGTACATATAAATTCAAATTCAGTGTTTTGTGTCTAGCTGCAAGCTTTAGCTCCTCATAACTATAGTGTCATTTTAACTCCTCGGTCTCTCTAATGGATCACGTAATTTAAGTAATTTTCATATTGGGTGAAAATGAATGGATAGCTAGTTATCAACTTACTGTATTTCAGCTATGGTTAAATGGTGTAACAGATTGCTAAAGACAATTGATAAGTCATTGAAAATGATAGGTAAAGATTTCTAACTATCTTTGTCGGCTCTGATTGGTTGTTTCATTCAGGCATTCACAGATTATCTGTCTCATGTACTACTGTCAGGATATAGTGAAAGTTTCAGCTAATATATATATAATAGAAAAAGTAACTTTTATAAAAATACCTACTGCAGCTTTAACGTAATGGATAAAGAGTGAAAATAGCAAAAACTATTGAATAATTAGTTTGAGTAGTTTAAATGAAGCCTGGGTGGTTGTAATGGATAAATGACTGAAATGTTTGGCTTCTAGAGCAAATTTAAACTTTGCTGACGTAAACATTTACACTTTAGCTGTATAAAGAAAATGTTAACATTCAGTTTAAGATCAATTCAGATAAACGCGTTGAGAACATGATGGGTGGTGCTGGATGAGTCGGCGGGACACTTGACTTGCAGAGAATTCTGACACATTTTGATTTAGTTTAGTGTTCCCAATAGCTGCATCAGCGCAGTACTTCCTGCACCCAAGACCCAACAAGGAGCCCGCTGTCTCTCAGTGTGTGTTAGCGTGGAGCAGTAAAGTCACATGGCCCATTTTGGTGCTTGCGTGTTCCCGGCTCTAAAAGAGGAAGCTGACCAGCGGGACCGTCTACCAAAAGCTCGATGAAGTCCTCAAACAGGGCAGCACTAGTCAGCATGTTTCTTCCTCCATCAGTCTGTCTGCATCTGGATGAAGCAGCCTCTGTCCGTCTGTCTGTGAGTGTGTGTGTGTGTGTGAGAGACACAAACACAGTGTTCAGTGCTCAGACAGCCCTCAAGTTAAAAGCCCAGCAGAGGCCTCTTTGTCTGGATTCAGACCGTTGTCATGTAATCGCTTCTGGCCAGAAGAAAGCCTTTTGTTACACACACACACACACACACACATACACACCATGAAGTCATAGCAGAACAGGCCCGTACCGTGAGACAGCCTTTGTCCATGCTGAACAAACTTGGATTATTGGAGCACAGGCACTATATAGTCACACAGGAGCGTGAGCTGTCTCCACTCTTTAATGGATGGATAGAACTTCTCCATGTCCTCCCAAAGCACCTTTTCAACTCTCTTCCCTCATCATTCAACAGAAGAATAAGTTCTGAGATTTATCAGAATTCTGAATAAAAAGACATCCAAAAGATCAGTAGCCCAGAAAAAGTACATCAATAGAAAAAAGAATATTAATATTTGAATTTGTAATATTAATGTTAGGTTTCATTTTTGTAACACTGCCAGCTTGCCAGCTTGCTCAGTGTTATGTTTGTAAGTTGTAACATTGATGTAAGAAATAAGTAGCTCGCTCAACAGCTAATAAATACATAGCTGGCTGGCCTTAAGGTGCCCCCAGCCCCTGTTTTAAGTGGTTCACCAATATGGTGGTGCCGCACTGGTGAAAAGATTTGAGATAAGGCACTGGCTTCGAACTGGCCCTCCTACTGCCTTGGTGGAGACGGAGTCACAGCCTTCTTAAGGAAATGGATCTGTAAAGGCCTGAATATACTCTGTTTATACTATCTGGAGTCTGCTTGAAGGGCGTGTTCCCCATAGTGGCCCCCCTGTGGACAGTCTGCGCAATCACAACAAATTGCAGATGCACGGTTGTCCACACAGAGCCTACGTGAAGGAATTTATGTCACCTGGACCCTCCGGGTTGCTAATTCCTGCTAAAGTCAGAACCTCAGAATGTTTTATAAGTCTCAGACCTCATGTAGCCCTCATGCTCCTTTGGCTTTTTTTTATGTTGCACCGTTCTGTATGTGGGTCAGTGCAGTCACATGTTCACCCTTTGCCCTCTAGCACCCACATGGATTGGTCCAATCTCAAAGGGGGCATGAGGAGCAGAGTGCTTGTGTTCAGTGCCATCACTGCCCTGGGATCTGAGGGTGTTGTTTCTTTCTGATCTGGAACAGGGAAGAACTACTTTTATCCAAGAGGCCTTGTTTGTTATCCGTTCCTGAAGCTCCACCGGGGGCAGTGTTACACGTGAAGAACCAGACTGCCTTTGACTTCGCCTTCTAACATTTCCATAATACTGGTTTTGTACACTGCACCTTGTGTTCTGTGAATCTAACATTAATGTTGTGACTGTAACAGTATGAATCAAATCTTCAGTGTTTGGTTGTACCAGTGGAAATCAGTGTCACCTTACATAGTCCAAACTATGCAACATCACTGCTTCACAGCCACCACTTGGTATTATGTTGTGTCAAAAATAATCGTGATCGTACTGACTGCTGATTCTCTTAATGTCTTATAGAAACCTGTCTTTAATCAAATGATCTGCCAAATGTACTGATGATTAGTGCCTCCTTCTCCGATCTCTGCCTCTATTGTCCAATCATGTTAACAAAGGTTTTATACTCGGTAGGTTTTTTTTAAAATGATCCCACACGAGCAGTTTGATATCCAACCAAATAATTCAGATGTAACTCTTCCCAGTTTTGTTATTTTCAGATAGACAAGCTTTCAATGTACAGTCTAACTTATGCTGTCTTACCCTCCTACTCTCCTAAATAAATCCAACTGTTTTTTAAAAAGTGTGTGTGCACTCACTGAACCTCTGCTCTGCAGAGAATTTTGTACAAACTTGTTGAGCTACTTTCCATCAAGTGTGAACCTATCGTGACATCACCCATTGGTTTGTGGAGTACATTTTGAAGCCTTGAGTTTGCCGTTTTGGTCGTTGCCATGACAGTTTGTCAGAGCCAGCGAAGGAGATGAGGCACTGTGAGTTGAGCTGCTCTCATTAACAGCTATTTTACTCTAAATGAGACTCATTTACTAAATGAACATCATGCTGTCTAGAAGAAAACTAGAGATTGAGAACATAAACTCATTAAGAAACTGTTTACTGAGCTCATAAATCAATAACGATAATATAACCATAAATCAGTGCATCCCTAATTTTTATCATTGATTTTGTGTTTATTTGTAAACTATCGTTGGTGTGGAACAGTTGCTCCAACAAAACAAGACATTTGTTGTCATTTTTATGATGTTAACTGATATTTCACAGATTAATGGAAAAAAATATTAACTTAAAGCAGGAAGCTGCAATAAACAGGCCCTTGCGGTTGCGTTATGTCACATAAATCACATGATTGCCTTACTTCCTGTTGCCAGTAGGTGGCATCTCCAAAACTGCAGCTCTTGTGGGGTGTTCCCAGTCTGCAGAGGTCAGCACCCATCAAAAGTGCTCCAAGGAAGGAAAAGTGGTGGACAGGGTCATGGCCAAGGCTCACTGATGCAGGTGGGGAGTGAAGGCTGGCCCGTGGTCCGATCCAACAGACTGAAACAGTTAATGCTGGTTCTGATAGAAAGGGGTCAGAACACACAGTGCAGAGCAGTGTGTTGGTATGGGGCTGCAGAACATCCTGACCACCCGGGTGCTCAGGATGTTACGGCTGTACACCTGCTATCTGTTGCTCATACAAAGAAGAGCCTGTGGAGGCACATGTGCTGTTCAGCCAGTAGAGGGTGCTGTTCTGCTACTTGTAGCAGCACTGAGGAGCAGCTCTGTAAACAGTCTGGACTTCAGTATGGAAACCCATTTCTGCCTATGTGACAGGGAAAAAAGGGATTCTGTAAATATAATGAGAAACATTCTCAAAATATTGACTGAAAATAATGAACAGTTAGTATCAGTCAAAATATTGGGAAGGTTTTCTCATTATTTTGAGATTCATTAGCAGTTAAAAACTCATTGTGATTCATTTAAATGCACAACAATAGCAAAAAAGTAGTTTAACTTCTAAATGAATGCAGTTGAACTGCCAGCAAGGTATTGCAAAATGTAGTTTAATTATATGTAGTTTCATTACTCCCCATGTATCTGCACTAGCATAGCTAAACACACACACAGTCCTCCACAGCCCTTGCTGTTGACCCAGTTCCCCCCTCCACACCAGTTAACACTGACCCAGACACAGACAACAGAAAGCCATCAGTTTGGAGGAGATTTTATTTATAAAATATATAACGTAATGACAGCGCCTTATAGCCAGGGACCTGCCTGTCACTTGAGTAAATAAAAAAAATGAAAAAGTTAGATTAAAAAACAAACATCAAATTATTGTTATAAACAGTTTAAATAAAGGTGATAGGCTGATTGAGGAAAGGTTTGGGAACTAAACTTCAAGTCATGTTGTGGTGGGTGAGGAGACTCTGGGAGGAGGAGCCTCCTTCACACCTTTGCATACATTGAACTGTATAGGAACCTCTCCAGTGGTGGAATGTAAGTACATTTAAGGTCAGTGTACTTTGCAGCCAGCAGATTTGGTTTTGAAATGAGAAAAAAACTAAATTGGGAGACAAGAAGCTGTTTCCTGTTTTTTATTCCCCTTTTTATAAATCGTTTTTTTGCTTTCTCGTTTGAAAACAAAAATCCATTGGCCATTTAAGTACTGTACTTAAGTACAATGATGAGGTACTTCAACTTTACTTGAGTATTTCTATTTTATACTACTTATACTATATTTGACTTAACATAAATCATAAGTCAACTAATCATTTGTGATATATTATTGTAGGTTAAACTACCCGGCAGTATATGAAGTCATTAAAATGAGCTCCACCTTTACCAACTGCAACATTAAAGTGATAATACATACGACCACTTTTGGTGCTTTAAAAAGGTCCAGTGTGTAACTTTTAGGAGCATCTATTATCAGAAATGGAATATAATATTCATGCTATGTTTTCATTAGTGTGTAAGCACCTGGATGTAGGAATCATTGGGTTCTTGTTACCTTACAATGAGACATTATCTACAAATCTACGGTTGGGTCCACCATGTTGGCTCCAGATAGGGCTGTGTGTCTCTATATAAAGAGTTCGGTCTAGACCTGCTCTATTTGAAAAGTGTCCTGAGATAACTTCTGTTAGGAATTGGCGCTATACAAATAAAATGAATTGAATTGAATTATATTGAATGAACCGAGGGAGTTGAGATTTGCAACTAGACCGCTACATGTCACTAAATCCTACACACGAGACCTTCAAGTATATTTTGATACTTTTGTACTTTTTTGAAGACTTTTACTTGTAACAGAGTATTTCTACACTAGTAGGGCTGCAACTACCGATTATATTCATTCCTGAATAATCTGTTGATCATTTTCTCAATTATTTGGTTAGTTGTTTGGAAAAATGTTGATCAGTGTTTCCTAAAGCCCAAGGTGACGTCCTCAAATATTTTGTTTTGTTCAGAACTCAAAGATATTCAGTTTACTGCCAGAGAGGACTAAAGAAAGCAAACATTCTGAAAATGACTCAAAACGATTGATCGATTATCAAAATAGTTGGAGATTAATTTAATAGTTGACTAACTGTTGCAGCTTTATACTGTAGTAATGCTCCTTTTACTCAAGTAAAACATCTGAGTACTTCTTCCACCACTGACCGTCTCTGGTTCCACACTTTACTGAGTTAGCCACTGCAGAGGAACATAAATCACTGTAAACTCAGTTCTTCTATTGAATCATGATTGCTTTTCAATTTGTATGCTGTTACTTATAACGAGGTGATTACAGTGAGTCAGCAGGATCATGACAACGTGGTAAACGACATACAGCCGATGGTCTTAAACCAAAGCAGTGCAAAACAAAGGAAAGTCTCTGAGGCTTGTGCAGTGAAACGTCCAGTGGAGTCACAGAGTACTGGATCCGTGTACAGACACTGAGCTGGAACTCACTGTGCAGTATTGCTTCAGTTACCACAGTGGTAGAAGTTCCACATCAATGGCATGAATGTGCGTAAGAGCATCAGATAGGAGGCTGCGTTTCCAGCTTTAGCAGCAGTGGAATCATTCTCTGTGCGTCTGAGGAGTGCAGGTAGATTGTCTGCTCTTTGTTTTTGGAGGGGAATGACAGTTTAAAGCTGCAAGAGGTGTGTGTTCCACTCTTGCTTAAGACGTAATGGGTCATGTGGCTGTTGAATAGAAAAACACGTGAGGGTGTTGGGGGGGCTTTAATGAGGATGCACACCTCCACACGAGCAGGAACATGATATCACGGATTTTTGATGACATGTCATGTTGGCACATCATCGTCATGGACACACCTGTGCATCCACGCTCATAGCTCCTCCGGCTAGCCTCCCCTCTCCTGCAGATGCATTTGAGGAACTGAGACGTCCGAGATTAAGTTCAACTAACACGCTTCAGTATCCATGACAACAACACTTCTTTCCTGAGATCGAGGTACAGAAATCTGTGACACCATGTGCTCGGCATGGATGTGCCTTTGGTCTGGCGGCACAAATACAGCAACACTGAACGCAGCTGCTGGTTCCAACTGCGTGTGTTGCTGTATTTGTTGTTGGCTCAGGCGGTGCAGTCGTCGGTGTAAGGTGATGAAGTCAGCTTCATATTACGGAGGCAGCGTCCCGATCTGCAGCCTGTCTGATGGGACTGTCCTCCGGGGCCAAGTCCACTTCCAAAAAGTCCATCTGGCCACTGTCCTGAGATGTTTTCTCCTCTTCCTCCGTGCTCCTGCTTTCCTCTTTCTTCCCACTCTGCTTTTGGCACATGCCGGACTTGGCCGGGCCGACCAGAGCCAGGCAGATGGCACTAAAGCCCATGCCCACCGCACAGGAGTAGAAGGCGGCACCATAGTTGTTGGTGGCATCCACCAAAACACCTGGAAGGAAAGATAAGAGCAGTTAGAATCTACAGGGAGGCTGACTGATGAACGCAGTCATACTGACAGTAACGGCTCTCGTACCTCCCAGCGGTGGCCCTGCCAGCCCAGCGAAGCTCTGGATGAAGACGTACACTCCCACAGATGATGCCATCTTTTGGATGCCCACCACGTCCTCCTCGGCCAGCATTGGGATGTGAGTGGAGCCGACGGTGCCCATGAAGTAGCCGTAGAGGGCGCAGCAGACCACTAGGCCCCAGAACTCCCACACGAGAGCGAACGCCACCAGGACCAGGCACAGCAGGACCACACAGCCCAGCAGCACCAGGGTCTTCCTGCAGCGGACTTTGCTCAGCACCACCCCGATGGACAGTCGGCCGAAGATCTCAGCCACAGCCATCACAGAGAGCATATAGGAGGCCATGCTGGGCTCCACGCCCCGGCTCTTGCTCAGCTCGATGACGTAGAGTTGCGGGGCGAAGAAACCCAGCGTGGCGAACAAGCCAAACAGGGAGTACCAGATGAAGGCAGGGTCTTTAAGCACAGAGAAGTCCAGGAGTCTGGGGCTGGAGGGCTGGAGAGGACCCGCCTCTGCAGTTGCTAGTTCGCCCTTATCCTTTTTCGTGACTGCGGTGGGAGACTCCAGGACCTCTTTGTCCTGCATCGCCCACTTCATCAGAACCTGGCTTTCAGCCCCTGCTGTCCGCAGGTCTACGTTGGAAGCAGAGAGGGAGGTGACACCTGAGTCCTCTGACCCCTGTGACACTGCTGAACTGATGGAGGTTCTGGTTTGTTCGTTTTCCAGCTGATACACAGCCTGCAGCTGCTTCAAAGAGAGAGGCTCTTTGTCTGACTCACTGTCCTCCTTCACAGGCTCTGGCTTAATGATGATTGGACGAAGGAGAAGCCCACAACCAATCACAGAAAGCTGAAAGATGCCAAGGATAACCAGACAGTAGCGCCAGCCAATGTGCTCCTTCAGTGCAGTGAAGGCTGTGGACAGAGGACAGCACAGCTTATTGTTATTAATATACACTCATCGTTCACTTACTACTTTTAGTTTTCAACCGCATCTGACTGTCTTCCTCAGTGGACAGACTTTGCTCCGTTGTCCTCATACACTACACTACTAAACCACTAATCCGCACAGTGAGCAGTAGTCAACTACTCCAAAGTAATGAATGTGCCTGTATACATTCTGATACATTCCACCAGGTGTGGCACTGTTGCATTTTATTGCCTTATATGTGCTAAGCTAAAAAAGAAATCTACTGTTTATACTAATACAACACGTCCTGCATGTGTCAAATGTGTTTGGATGTGAAGCCCATGGTAGGCTTTCGCAGTGAAACCATCAGTAAGTGTTGTTTGCTAGTAAGTGTTGCTAGCAAGGTTAACTGATCTATCTTGACTCACTCTACTACAAAGTTACAGTTTATCTTCAGATTACAGATTATTATTACAACTCTGATATAGCATGATGAAAGAGAGCACATCAGAAAATGAGAACTGACAACTTTTTGCTGGAGTAAAAAGTACAACATCCATCTGAACAATGTACTTAGAGTTATAATCCTTCAAAACAGGTTTGGTTAATATTTATGTTACTATAATATTTTTTTTTAATAAATAAATAAATCTAATAGCCAGTAAATGTATTTAAGATACATAAGTACCCCTTATGTTTAGTAGTTTTTGTTCTTAGTGACAGGGTCCACCACTTCCACGCTGGGTTGAAATTGCCAGGATGACAGGAAACAATACAGCCTGAACCAATCCAGTGTTACTGTTTGTAATTTGTAAAGTTTAGTTGTACTGATTAGAGCCCAACCAATAAGTTAAATATTCTTTAACATGTTAAAGCTACAGTAGGTAACTTTTATAAAAAATATATTTTTGTCATATTTTCTGAAACTGTCATTATATCCTGACAGTAAAAAAATCAGGTTCCTCTGGCTCCTCCTAGTGCTCCTAATGGCATTTACAAGAATCCACCGGGGCTGAACAGAAACAACCAATCAGAGCCAAGAAAGATAGAAAGACTCTTTGGTTTGGAAGTTTCTGTCCGGATATAGTGAAAATATCAACTAATGAGACAAAAAGATATTTTTATAAAAGTTAGTTAACATATATACCAATACCAATATGATACTGATCCATCCCCATGAAAACTAAAAGGTCTAAATGTTATATTTCAGCTAACTGCCTCTGTGTGACTGAACACTCACCTGGAGCAAATGCAAATAGGGCGAAGGATTCTCCGGACGATGCGACGGAGGTGACGAGGGCTCGCCGCCTGGAAAAGTACTGGGCTAGGAGGGTGACGGTGGGAAGGAAGGTGAGGCAGTAGCCGAGGCCTGTAAACAAAGAGGGGAAAAGGGGACATGACAGCCACTGGCCCGCATGGTAGGAACACTGCATGGCTAGGAGGGTGGGTCAAGATCAAGGTGTCAGGTGACTCCTTTGTCAATGGTGGTGGGCTGTGGGAGAGGAGTCAGCTTTGCTACAGCTGCTGCTGAAAGACAAAAGGCATGTAAAAACAAAAAAGAGATGGGGAGAGAAGAGAAGGGGTTGTCAAGTTAACTGGGGTCCATTTCAGAGGCAGACATGGTACGGTGGGAGAACTAGCAGTGCTTTCTGTCCAAGAGAAAAAGCTGTTAATGTGCTCTGATACAGCAATTTGTTTATCTTCCAATCTGTTACTTTCATTAAGTCAATTTATTCCCCCCTCCTCAGCCTCCTTCTCCATCAATCCTCATCTGAAAGGGAACTTAGTGGGTTTTTTTGGGGGTATTTTGCTTCTTTAGTTTTTCCTGCTCTGCTCTGCCAGTCGTTCCTAGAAAGTTAAGATAGTGAAGCAGACCTCACTGCATGTTGCTGAGAAGAGGCTGATCACCTTATCAGCTCTCAGTCATTGGACAGTTCTGGAAGAAATAGATTGATTCAGCTTTTGTTGGTCACACTGCTAGAAGTCCCTTTAGTTCTTTCATTACAGGCATTTAAACAGGACAAATGGACAGTCATTCTGTAAATGGTCTATTACAATGCCACACAAAGACACACAGACAGACAGACATGGGGAGGATGAGCTGATGGGCGCGTTGGTGTGAGTGTGATACAAACCTGAGACAATGCCGATGGTGATGTACATCTCATTGATGGAGTTGGTGAAGGCGGAGGTGATGGTTCCCAGACTGATGAGGAAGCCTCCCATCATCACCACAGGGCGATAGCCGAAGCGGTTGCTCAGCATGGTGGACAGGGGGGCTGGGGTTGTGGTTAAAAACACTACAGTCATTTGATCACAGTCACCTAACAGTTACATAATAACTCATATGGTCTCTGAACTGATCAGAGTGATGGTGTGCAGTTATTATTAGTTACTGGTACTCAGTGTTATCAGGTAACTGTAGAACTGCAATGATTAGCTGTCAACTACTAAATTAATCACCAACTATTTTGATAATCGATTAGTCATTTTAAGTCATTTCTTTCTTTTCTACAAAAGTCCAAGTTCAGATGTGCTTATATGGCAGTAAACTGAATATCTTTGGGTTGTGAACAAAACAAGATATTTGAGGACGTCACTTTGGGATTTAGGAAACACTGATCAATATTTTTTTTGCCATTTTATGGACCAAACAACTAATCGATTAATCAAGAAAATGATCGACAGATTATTGTAGGTTGTAGATTACAGAAATCTGTGTTGTATTATATTATTTACTCTTACACATACTCACATACACATATGCATGAGTGATAATACTAATAATGCAAATATGTTTGTAAAATAGTCTCTTTTCTGCTAGTATTGGATGTTTCCTGGCCCATGTGGGTGCTACTAAAAAAGTCCAAGGTAGGAGACAGTAACTGACCAGTGAAGGTAAAGATGAAAACACAGATGGAGATGACCCACGACACTCGGCTGTTGCTCTCCCCAAACTCTTCCATCAGATCCTGGAGGAACACACCCAGGCTCTTGAGGGTCCCATAAGTGCACACCTCCACCAAGAAGAAGGCCCCGGCCACAGCCCAGCCCCAGCCGCCATCAGGGACCTCTGGGTAAACGTTTGGGCCAAAGCAACGCTGGGAATTGGGCAGCTTCATATCTACAGCAGGCCCCCTGGAGGTAGAGACAGAGATTACATCAATGAGCTAGTTCTGAAGCTGAGTTTTGTTGACGTCTACTGCTGCACTGAGAGTGACAGGGTCAGTGAGCATTCATTTTGCCATTCAATTCTCTTTCCTTGGTTTTCCCCTTCACATATATTTATTTGATACATTATCATAAAAAGCTAGATTTGTATATATGCAGAGGGTCAAGATGAGGCAAATCACCATCTATTAACACCTGGGATACAAGAAATGGAAAAGAAAAGTTGAGAAACAGAGAAGAAGAATAGAAACTGAAATAAATGGGTCACAGAAATCAGGTTCCTCTGGCTCCTCCTAGAGCTCCTAGTGGTATTTACAAGAATCCAGCGGGGCTGAACAGAAACAACCAATCAGAGCCAAGAAAGATAGAAAGACTCTTTGGTTTGGAAGTTTCTGTCCGGATATAGTGAAAATATCACCCTGGTTGACCCTGGCTGACACCCTGGGAATGTGACTCAACAATCAACTGTCTTTCTTGGCTCTTACTGGTTGTTTTTGATTGCAACTATTTCTATAACTCAAATATTTAAAGTTTCCAAAATAAGAAAATAAAATTATGTCAATAGATTTTAAGTCTGAAAAATATTTTTATTTTATATCAAAACTTAAAGGTTTTAGACAGTTGCTTGGAAATGATACGTTTTCCCAGCTTCTCCTTCTTACAGTGTGCCTGTGACAGTATGGTTGACTGAGTAGCGAGCAGTAAAAAGAGGAAACAGAGTGTTTCAGAGTGTGAAAACCTATGAACAGAATTCTTTAACATTCTTTCACTTAACTTTGAGTCAATTAAATAATAGCCAAATTAAATATTCCACATATTTTTGGAGAGGCCCTGGAATCCTTTTCGAGGGCCCCTGGGGGTCCCCGGACCCCAGGTTGAGAACTGCTGCTGTAGCCCATTATGGGACACTGCTCTTCAGTGAAAGCCAGGATTATAGTAGTACCGGAATTACACAAAAATGTCACATTAATCCGCTTTAAATAGGCTTTCAAATGCATGTACCCAGAAAAAGATCAGCTTTGGCCTCAACTGTCTCAAGGTCGTCTCTGAACAATAAGACAACTATCTTGATGGCTGTCTCCACCTGAGAGCTTAGAGAAGGTCATCTGGGACCAAGAACAACAATATGAACTGATAACTTACACACAGACATACAAGGCTATATGAGCAAAGACTTTCCCCTCACACACACACACACACACACACACACACACACACACACACACACACACACACTCTTATCTAAGGTAGGGTGGGTGTCCCTCCTTCACCTCAGGCTACTTGTAGCTGCTCTCTTATGTGACATTTAACTATAGATATATACACACACAACATCGCTGACATATTGGACTGGGCAAGACTGGGCACTATGTTTACATTTCTCAAGTGATCTCATTTTTATATTCAGAGGTTTATGATATACATGAATTAGAATTAAATTTGAAAAGAATGTACTCATTGTAAAACATTACTGTTGCATTACAATTTGAAGTAACACAAGCTCAAATTCTTGATTAAGCAGATTTTACTTGTAATTTGAAGTGACACTAACAGACACAGGTTACAGACACATGGGCGGCTGTGGCTCAGAGGGAGAGCGGGTCGTCCACTAATCGTAGGGTGTGGTTCAATCCCCCGGCTCTTCCTGCCACATGTCGAATTATCCTTGAGCAAGATACTGAACCTCAAATTGCTCCTGATGCTGTGCATGTGTGAATGTGTATGAATGAGTTAGTTTCTGTTCGATTGGCTTTGCTGTGAATGTGTATGAAAAGGTGAATGTGGTATGTAGTGTAAAAGTGCTTTGAGTGGTCGGAAGACTTACCATTCCTGATTAAGTACTTTTAACTATGCATTTTGTTTTCACAGTACAAATAAAAAATACAAAATGAAGTCAGAGTGACTTAAAATTACTAAAGCTACCTGATAAAGATTTTTTTTTCCAACTTACAAAACTGAGTCAGTTTTAAATGAACTTAAATGAACCCATTTCCGACAGTGTGACAAAGAAAACAGGATTCTATAAGTCATTATAATGACAAACTTTCTCAATAGTTTGAATTGATATCTCAAACTAATGAACATGGTTCTATATATTTGGACTTAGTATCACAGTCATTTTGAGATACTACATTAATATTTTGAGAAACTAATGAAGAACATAATCATAATAATATCCAGTAGATATTCTGTAGGGACTTGGCTTGGGCACCTCCTGTGCACTGCCGATGTGCCCTTGAGCAAGCCACCTAACCCCTAACTGCTCCCTGAACGCCGCTATGTGGTAGCTCATCATTCCACCATCCCTCCACATTTGAATGTCTATAAGCCCTGTATGTGAATGATTGTATTTCGGGAATATGTGTGTGTGTGTGTGTGTGTGTGTGTGTGTGTGTGTGTGTGTGTAAAAATACAGTGAGAGAAGAATTTCCCCATTCGGAATTAATAATGGATATCTTGTTCTTCTTTATCTACAGGTCAGTCTTGCCCGGTCCAATATGGCGGCGACGCTGACATATCCTGGCAACAGACAGAGCGGCCAATGCGGCGTCTGTGCATTTCCGCTATAGGGCTAACCGCAGTGCAGAGGAGGAGGAGGAGGAAGGATGATGTCAATGTGCTGCATCTCTGGGGTTTCTCACCCAGCAACGCAGGCAGCAGACAAGTACAGCCAGCAGCTGACCTACTGAACCCTGTCTGTTATTTAATGGATAAATGAAGGCTACAATTACATATGTGTTGCGTTATTGTGATCTATCTGCGTTCCTGGGTGGCACAGCAACAGCTTTACACGTGTAATATAAATAAAAAAATTGTTCTGGATTGTTTATATATAAAACTAGCTAACTTCTAACAACGCGGAACAGCTTTGAGTGCCGCCGCTGTGCTCCTCAAGCTACAGACAGACAGACAGACAGACAGACAGACAGCATTCTACAGCTGCAGTCTTAAGTTGACATCTTTACTTACCGGCAGAGTTGACAAGACAGGTTGCTTTTCCACACACAGCTGTCTGCTGTAACAAAGCCGGCTTTTCTATCTGGTCGTCACTGCATGGTGGCTTTATAAGGTAGATCCAGTGTACAGTATACAGTTTAGGTCTGTATTTACCAAGCTAAAGAAAGCAATAGTTTAAAATGTTTTCTTTTAAAATGTCTGACATCTAAGCCACTTCCTGTTCCTGCTTCAAAAAATAAAAATGATAGTGAAGCCGATGTTGCTTCTGTCTATTTTCGTTCCATCGCAGCCAGCTGCATCCTCTGTCTTCAGTGAAGTATTCCTGCCTACTCTGGCAGCTCTTTACCGGCTCGAGCCGGTATTTTAAACACGGCCGCGCGAATCGCTAATATGTGAACGCGCAGGGCGTCCCTCGTGAGAACCGCGGAAAGTGACTGTTTCTCTCTCTTACACACACACACACACACACACACACACACACACACACACACACACACACACACACACACACACACACACACACACACACACACACACTCGCGGTCTCTCTCTCTCTCTCTATCTCTCTCACACACACAGTGCGCAGCCTGTGCTGCTCTGATGCTGCCTTTACGTGACAATAGATAACGCAGCATTACCAGAATATCAACCTTTTTGGCTGGGTTTTTTGTTAATATCCTTTAATTTAATATCTAATTTAAGAATGTGGTTGCTCATATCGGCTAAATATAACAAATTGAGTTTATATTACATTCAGTAATTTTGTGAATAAGTGTTAATATTCGTGGTATGTACAGTGGCATGGTATTATTATTATTGTTATTATTATTATTATTTAATTTCAGCATCCCATACATGCACACGTATGTACGTTTCTTTACAGAATTCCCAGTTGCCTTGACATCTACCAAAATTTAGGACCAATACAATAAAATGTTCAAGTTCAATAGCATACAATTCTCTATACACACGTGGAAATGAATCAATACAGTTCGTACGTTTTGATATTTCAGTTAGTAGGCTGTTATTTATTTGACTTTACCCAGAATTTGTGTTTTTTAGAGAAACTGTGGGTTCACAAGTAACTCCTCTGCCAGTCGGAGCAATCTTTCCACATGACGTTGCAGTAGCCCTCTTTTACGCATTTTTTGTCTGACAAAAAAACGCATCACTTGCGCGTCAAAGCACGTGTGTACACCGGGCGCGCGGCTGGGATGAACAGGTTTATTCCAGTTTAGAGGAGGTTCATTCCAGTAAAGGGACAGCATCCCGTCCCACCCTGCCACAGCGTGGAGGTGTGTGTGTGTGTGTGTGTGTGTGTGTGTGTGTCCACACTGCAGGAAAGGACAAGTAGCACTTAAAGGTGTTTAGGTCCCTTTTTTTTTTTTTTTAGCAAATATATATTTTTATAAACTTTATCTACTGCAGCTTTAAATTGGCAGAAGCGTTATTAAATTTGGATTCAGATGTTGAATGATTTCTATGAACACAGGGTTGATTATTCTCCAAAGAAACCTCTCAAGGCCTGCGTATTAAAAATCTGATTTTTTTCAATCCATTTACATTTACTTTTGGAGAACAATGAAACTACTAATATTCTGTCTCTATGGCAGCAGCATAAATATTAGCATATTGCAACCTCTCTGCCAGCCTTTTACATACTACTGTGCTGTGGCTAAATCCTGGAGGGATTAGGAAACAGCACTCTCAGAGCTATGAACTATTTATGTTCTTACATAAATCTGACCAAAAAGGTTTCAAGAATGTCATTATTAAATCCCCTGACCCTTTCAAAATAAAATACACAGAGTTTTTAGTTTGCACATTTTTAAGAATGTTGATGAACATTATGATGAATTCATCCAATAAGTGCTGTATAATTTATAAATGACTCACCTTGTCTCAGCTGTGACTGCTCCCTTGACTTATGTTGAATGTTCAGAAGTGACCTGACCTGAATACTTTTCAGTGTAATGTAGGGGTGTGTCAAAGGGGTGGCCAGACAAAGTCCAGCCCTGAAATGTGATTGGACCCCCATTAGGCGCCACCTCAAGATGAAACATCATAATAGGTAAAGGAGTTAAAGATTGGGAAAAAGGTTAACCTGCATCTCCACCCTTCCTGGTGGCTGACAGTTTCTAGAAAAATATTGTCATTTCCTGTATCTACTAATGGATTTAATGGTCAAATCTGAGCACTTTACCATTTAAATTAAAGTTGTAAGAGCGGCTGTGGCTCAGAGGTTCGATCCCCGGCTCCTGGTGCCACATGTCGAAGTATCCTTGAGCAAGATACTGAACCCTACCATGCATTGGTGTGTGAATGTGTATGAATGAGTTAGATTCTGTTTTGTCACTGAGTGAATGTGTGTGAAAGGGTGAATGAATGTGGCACATAGTAAAAAGCGCTTAGAGTGGTCGGAAGACTAGAAAGGCGCTATACAAGTACAGGTCCATTTACCATTTAAGAACACTAGCATTGTGATATTAGAACAAAATGGGCAGCTGTTTAATGTGAGATGGTCATAGAGAGCTGTTAAAGCTCCACATCTTTTGTTATGTATTCTTGCTTAAAGCCAATATTCACAAAACCAGTAAAAATGTTTAAAATAATCTCTCCTGGAGAAGAGGCTTCACTTGTTTCCTGTTACATACATTTGTTCCACTGTTACATCATGATAGAAGCTGGACTATCAAGACAGTGCTTTTTTTAAAATGCAAACTTGCTTTTTTCTCCAAACTGAAGATCAAACCAATGAGACGAGTCATGAAGTTTTTAAGTACTATTGGATCTTTCTTGTATTCAGATCAGGTAGATTGGGTCGTCCTCTAATCAAAAGACTGACGGTTACTCCTCTCGCTGCATGTCGAAGTGTCCTTGAGCAAGATACTGAACCCTAAATTACACCGATGCTGTGCTTAGTTTCCATTCTGGTGAGCAATTGGCACCTTGCATGGGAGCCACTGCCATCAGTGTATAAATGTGTGTGAATGGGGTGAGCGTGGCATGTAGTGACTAGAGAGGCGCTATATAAGTACAGTCCATTTACCTTTGAGTTCAAACCTAATAAAAGCAACAATAAAAGCACAGTGTGCTGTGCTGCTGTAATGAATAATTACTGAATAGATCACTGTGCACTAACACTATCACTTGTGAATATCTTAGTGGCTGTAAATGTGGTGAAATGTTCATCCTGTGACTGACCTCACTTACATAACCATAAGCACCCATAGTCAGCCATCAAAATCCTCAGTCAGGTGAAAAATGAAATACATAAAATAAAACAAGACACATCCTTTGCTTTGCATAGGTTCGTTCTTACTCCACTCTATGAGTTTATTTCTTTGTTTCTTTCACTTGTTTTGGTCTTGTGCAATTAGCAAAATACTTTCTTTTACAAATGATAATAGGCACAAATAAACATACAGTACATACACGCCTTCTGAAATGTGTCCAGGAGGCATACACTGAAATATTCAATACATGTCAATGCAGTATAATACAATACAAAATAAAAATTAAAACAATTCTTTATCATGGATGTAAACTAAGATATAACTAATGATAAAAATAAAAATGTTGCTACAATAATGCAACTTAATAAAATATTTGTCAAGTAATAAAGCTATGGGGAATTGTGGCTATATTTCTGCTCCAGCATGCACCTCACACTTTAATGAAACACTCCTTAAAGATAAACTCCCTGATTTTTTTTTTTTTTTTTTTTTTTAAGTAACCAACAGCATCTAGTTCAGAAATGTCCTCTTAGTTCACAGTTGAAGTTTTGAAACTCAACAGTCAGCTTGGAGGAAGTTTAGAGGTACTATTGGTGCTGTGACAAAATCAGAAGTGTACCTTTAACACAATCATTATGTAACATGTGGACCAGATTGTGGTTTTCTCTGAAATTACTACATGACATCTACTTCTTGCTCAGTGTTTTGTTTACCACGTCAACTTGATTGGTTAATTAATGTTATTTTCTCTCTAACGGAAAAGATAACTTGGCACCCTGAACCTTTAATTTTTTTGCTGTTCCTCTCACTTGCGAGTGCCTGTCTGTCTGTTTGTCCATCTGTCCTTTTACCCACTCACGAGCGCCTCGCCTGGCCACCTCCAGTCCCGTCGCGGCACCAATTAATCTACCAAAACACATGAACAGACCCGTTAGTTTTGACTACAAGATTTGTCAAATCACGTCCCAGTTTCTGGTACAGTTGAAGGGAATTCCGCTACAACAAAGAAAGCAATCAAAACCTTTCAGGACATTTTTGTAATATGTGTTTACCTCTGTTGAAATAGAAATCATACTGAAGCCCTGAGAGGCAAGTGAGAAAAAAACAATTCTGGCGATCCATTTTATAATAACATAATAATATTATGTGTTTTCTCTCCCGAGTAAAAAAAGGTTTGCCAGGATAATTTTCCAGAAAGTACCCTTTTTTTTTCTTTTTTTTTCTCTTTATCTTTGAAAACAGAAATGTTTTTTCTTTTGCTGTAATACAGATTTTGGCCACAAGAGTGTGTTTGCGGATGGGTGAGTGTGGCATGTAGTGTACAGTGGTTTGAGGTGGTTGGAAAACTAGAAAGGTGTTACATAAGTACAGTCCATTTACCATCCTGTATATGTGAAAGCATAAGTAATACATGCATTGTTTTACAGCAGATGCATAGGAAGCTAGTTTGGTTAGCTGGCAAATTGCCCTGAAAGCAAACCCCAACTCAGTTAGCTCAATAGCAAATAAAGGGCTAATTTACATGTTTACCATAGTTGATGATTTGTGTAAAAATCAAATAAATTTGTAAAAGGTATGTGCTACACATACATGTTTGATGCCAGATTAGACATTTCCTGAATCTCTACAAGGAGGTGGCAAGTGTAAAGTTGTCAGCGACATTATGAGAGTAAGTAACCCAAGTTGTTACCGTATGGGAATTTCACTATAAAGCTGCAGTAGGTAATTTTTATAAAAATATTTTTTTGTCATATTTGCTGAAACTTTCACTATAGCCTGACAGCAGTACATAAGACAGATAATCTCTGAAAAAATCAAGTTCTTCTGGCTCGTTGTAGCACTGCTAATGGCATTTGCAAGAATCCACCGGGCCTGAATAAAAACAAGAAATCAGAGCCAAGAAAGATAAAGTTAATTGGTGAGTCTCATTCCCAGGGCGTCAAATATTGACCCTGGGAATTAAATTTATCAAACAACTATCTTCAAGTCTCCAACCCAAAGCATCTTAATAGGCTCTGATTGGTTCTTTTTGTTCAGGCCCGGTGGATTCTTGCAAATACCATTAGGAGCACTAGAAAAAAAAACAAACGAAAAAACTAAATTTTTCACAGATTATCTGTCTCATGTTCTACCGTCAGGATATAGTGAAAGTTTCACCAAATATGACAAAAAGTTATTTTTATAAAAATTACCTGCTGCAGCTTTAATCCAAAGCATTATAATCTGGTAATGTCTGCTGACATAGTAAATCAGTTACATACAGCGGAGCCATAGAACCTGAGTGTTTAAAATGGCTGATAAAGAGGAAATCTACATGATCACTCAGGAGGCTTTTTCTTTCCTTCAGATGGCAAACCATCTAAAGGCCACATTGCTACCAATTAAGCCCTTTACATATTACGTATGTAACTTCTGGTGGATTTTAACTTATTTTGCAGTTGACACTTACCTCCTCTTGTCACATTGTTTCATTATTTATGACTTCCCACTTCTTATTTTGTAAAGTCCAAGTACGGAATGACAACATGTTAAGTTTGGACTTAATTCCTATTTGCTTACATGCTGTATGTAAAACGTTTTGGATTTTATAACTGAAAATGTTGAAAGTGATGGACAAATGTGATCTGAACTTTTCAGATTGTTGTTGTGGCTTTAATGTAAAACTGACTCAGGTGCTCATTCAGGCATGATACCTACATATTATAATTGCCATTAGATTCATTTAAAGAGGTGCATGTCTGAAAGAGGCTTTAATGATTGCTTTTGAAGAAGCAGATAATGCTGAAAAATGGACAAGACAAAGTCAGTGATTATTCTGAAGATGAGGAGGTTACCTTTTATGCATTTTCAACTATTTGTACTTATTTGGAATGGTAAGTTTCACGGGCACTATGGTCATATTCAAAACAGCGGTCAGTATAATGCAACACAGTTCAACAGCAGCATAAGCTGCAGCCTCCAAAATGATCATACAGTTGAATCAACCCCTCTCTGAAGTGGTTTCAACAAATCTGAACATTCAGAACCTACATTAAGGCGGATTTGCTGCAGGACTGTTGTATCAGACGTCATTAGTTTTAGCTAGGTGGATATAAAAAACTGAACAATGTATTGCTAATGTGGAATTTGCTGGTATTTGATGGTCAAACCAATGCTGATATTGGGGAAAGCAGTCTTAACTGTTGTCTTTCCGTTATCATGCTTATAAGTTGTCGTAGGAGAGCTAGCTATTGCTGACAGTTAGCACTTCTGGATGCTCACAGGAGGAAACTCGTTCTCGTCGTCCAGGCATACAGGTCCAGCAGCGAACTCGTGTTCTGGAATGACTTCGCCTTTCTTTGCCCCGCCGTCCTCAGAGTAGCCTGGGTAGAAACAGGAGAAGGAGGCAGGCGGTTTATTAGCGCCTTACAGTGGGCCTGATTGTCGGGTTGTCCATTTCATTAAGTTCTCAAAGCTCCTCCGCAAGGAAAACTGTAGTTGTATACTGTTTATTAGCACTTCTTTGTCTTTGTCAACTGGTATTTCTAAAATGGCTAATGGCTAACTAATGGCTAGAGCCTGGTTTTCAGACTTGTTGTACTGGAACGCAGTCAACTTGGGGGTGATGTCATTCCCAGTTCCGACTTCACACTTCCGAGGTAAATGGAACACACCATGTGCAGTGTGAAAAGCCCCATTGGCAGCCACAGATTTGGTGGGGAATTGGATAGATTGCTTTATAGAACAATAGACCTTTTTCACCGCAGCCATTTTGACATGAAATAGTAGATACTAATACAGGTTCTGTTCCATTTAGTGTAGCTGAGCCTTTCCAGTGAGCCAACATGCATAGTGGCAGCACTCTAACTCTGTTTGACCTTAATGTAACAGAACCTTAATTAGTATCATTGGTAACACCGGTGTTTACCCTACTATTTCTTGTCAAAATGGCAGCTGTGAAAAGGTCTATTAGGACGGAGCTGCTAATTTGGAGATACACCCATGAGCCTGGACTGGTAGTGGTCTTCATGGGTTCAAACCTACCCAATCCCATAAATCATGCATAAATCAACTGACCCAATCTGAAACAGGTCCAAGGACATCCAGACAGTCCAAACTGACCCGAGGGTGATTAGACTCAATATAAGAAGCATCAGGTCTATGTTGTTCAGCACAAAAATTGCAATCCTCCTTGAATTAAGCTATTGCAGTCATAAAGAGTAGAATAAAAAGCCACATAGGCGTCTGCGACTACTAACCAGTGAGAGTTGCAGTGACGGGACCAGAGGCTGGTAAGGCAGCGGTTGCAGCATAGGATGGACAAGCCTGTGCTGGCCCTGTGACCTCTGACCCCTCTGACTCTGTTTCTTCAACCTGGTCATCATCAACACCAAAAAGCCTAAGAAAGGAAGAGGAAGAAGAAAGCAAGAACACAAGAGAAAAGGCAGTAAATAAACTTTACTCTTGACCTGCAACTCGTCTTTTTACAACTTTCTCTAATCCATCACAGTGTTGCCAGAGCTGCCAGAGTATGATGTAGAGATAAAACTGGTTTCAGTTCAGCAGTTCAGGAGTAGATCTTTGATCCCCCCCAAAAAACACCCCAGAAAATTCAGTGCAAGCCTGAACTGAGTCCGAACCACAAAAGTTTTGGGCCCAAGCTGAACCCACCAAAAATAAATAAATACATAATTTCAAGTTTATCACAAGCTTAAATAAACTACATTATCCAAATAATATAGTGCAAAATATTATCAAAACTAATAAAAAACAAATTAACTTATTAATTACAGTCGCATGCATTATAAATACAATATTAAATCAAATAAAGAGTAAAAAAATTTAATTAAGTCCGAGTCCGACCTGAGCCCGACCTACGGCAGCACTTTTGGTCCACAGGGATACGACCTGCACCCTCACCTTTTAAATCCAAAGTATGGAAACCCTTTGAGCTTTACACATTACCAGGAAATGGTAATAGACATGACTAAATCTGTGTGCAAACCTGTCATTGACAAGTATCGTATTATGTTAATGCAAGCAACATGAGTGCCCATCTTGCTCGACACCAAAAAATGGAGGCAATCTTCAAATCAGAGTGCCATCTTGTTAAGTCTAATGCTAAAAATCTGTGAAATCAGCTGTAGCCTCACCTGTGCTTGTGGGACAACATGCACTCGCCTCCATCCAGTGGATCCACGTTGTAGATGAAAAGCTGGCCGTCAGCGGTGGCCACCAGCAGCCGCGGAAGCTTCTGGATCCTGAAAAGTCAGAGCCATTCACTTAGGTCCAACCCAAAAAAGAGAGTCTCAAAGTGCTCACAATGTCTTCTCAAGGTCTAAAATCACACAGAACTACTGACTTAATGACTGTAATATAAAGGCACGACCCCTGATTCCTAAAGACCACAGAGAAGCTCACATAGCCAGGGTGCAGACGTTCTTCTGGCCGGACGTGAGGAGGTGAACAGTGGCGAAGGCGCGGTCCTGGCTCATCATGCCGGATACCTGAGCAGGGAAGTAGCTGCTGGCTGCTGAGAACATCTTGCCCACGTAGGATGTCCAGGTAGCAGCCTCGTCCCCTCCACTACAGACAAGGCAACAAGCTTCCTTTAGAACGGGTTCATCCTACAACTTGCTTTATACTACACAATGAGAATGAGAGTACAATGTTATCAAAACTGATAGAACCAGAGGCCAGACATACAAAAAAATTAGGTTGTAATAACTTGTAGTTTTCATAGCGAATCTGCCTCAATTTAATATTTTCTATTGTTACTACAGTTGTGTTAGCTGGTTAGCTAGCTAACTGTTGGTAATTTAACATTACCCAAGCAAGCATGGCTACTAATTTCTCAATGTTACCAACCTCAAAAGTAAGATTAAAGTTTTGAACAACATGCAGTGAACAACATGTATGAATGCATTAGTTTCTGTTCGATGGGCTTTGCCATCACTGTGTGAATGTGTGTGAAAGGGCGAATGTGGCACGTAGTGTAAAAGCTAGGCCGAAGACTAGAAAGGTGCTATACAAGTACAGGTCCATTAAGCATTTACAGGTCCATCCAGAAACAAACAAGACCATCAGTGAGTTAGTAGTTAGTAGTTAATGCTTGCTTGGGTCGGATTCTCTTTGAAACCAATGAAACAAGGCAGTAGAAACACTACTGCTTTTGTCCACAGGTGCTGAATAAAAAGTCCTTGTGGGAGCTTTAAATATAGCACCCAACAGGGAATAGGTTTGCAGGTTCTTGCCATATGTTTAAATGAACTTGTCGTGTTTTCAATGTGTGTGTGTGTATGTCTACCTTGGTCCCAGTTGCTCCAGTTTAAAGATATGCACCGTCTCTGTGTTGCTGGATGCACAGAGGAACTGGCCATCAGGGCTGAAGGATAAAGAGCTTATGTTGACGTACCTGCAGATAGACAGACAGACATAAACACACAAAAACAAGCAAAAACACTCAATCAATCATTTCAAGTGCATAATTAACTTTGACTATTAGAAGGCTATTTGCTGAAACCAGTCTGCTCAGCTCTTGAGGATGTCATCCAACACAGATAAAGTGCAATTTAATAGCCATGAATCAGTCATCAGTGTGTAATAATGTTGTTTGACGCATTAGTGCATGCCTGCCAATATGCCTGCAAGAATGACTCCATATGTATTTGATATCATGATCTGGGTCAGTGGTTCTCAACCTTTTTGGTGTCAAGGACCTGATACACATGGGGCTGCAGACTCGTATTTGATAAGATGTAGTCTCAGGGATCCCCGTTCTATAAGGTTTAGTTATTCCATAACTGTCTGTACTGTAGATTGGCAGATTAACAATGAAGGGTGTGAAATCTATTATCTCATTGGGATAACTTCTAGTCAATGAAATAATAGTACATTTAAAGTATTTCCCTTTTTCTAGGGACCCCATGAACGACCCCAAAACCTAGGCTCATCTAAGTTATTTAGTGAGGTTTATGTCTCATATATTGGACCATGTATTTCTTTTATGGAAATACGATCTTATACAATGTGTTTGAACTCTGACCTCTTCATGCCTCTGCGGAACTCAAACAGACGCTGGCCCTCAGGGATGGAGAACACTCGGATGACAGTGCCCTGTAAAGACAGACAGACAGACAGACTTTACAATGACTTCCTTCACATGCAAAAAAATGTATAGAAATATTTCTGATCTTGGTGGTGTACAGTGGTGGTGTACAGTGGTGGTGTAGTGCTTCCCATGCCACTGTGAGCTCATCTGACAACCTAAAGGAGGTCACGGGTCACTGGGCGGCTGTGGCTCGGAGACAGAGCGGGTCGTCTCTTAATCGGAAGGTTGTGGGTTCGATCCCTGGTCGGTGTGCGAGTGTGTATGAATGTTAGTTTCTGTTCGATGGACTTTGCCATATGTGTGTGAAAGGGTGAATGTGGCACGTAGTGTAAAAGCGCTTTGAGTGGTCGGAAGACTAGAAAGGCACTTTACAAGTACAGGTCCATTTACCATTTACCATCTTGGCAAGTAGTTAAATCATGTTCCCTCCCTGACTGTTTGGCTGACTAGGCAGGGCTGCTGATAAGGTTGAACACTTTGTAACAGAAGACCAAGGTTGAGACAAATCTAACAGACATATAGACTGCCTCATCCTTAGAATGCTTGACTATAAGTGGTATTCAATTCAGTTCAATTCAGTTTTATTTGTATAGTGGCAATTCATGACAGAAGTTATCTCAGAACACTTTTTAAATAGAGTAGGTCTAGACCTTACTCCTTATAAAAGACCCAACAGTTCCCACCATGAGCACGCACTTGGAGATGGCGGCAAGGAAAAACTTCCTTCTAAGAGGCAGAAACTTGGACAGACTCCAGCTCTAGGTGGGTGGCCGCCTGCCTCGACCAGATGGGGTTAGAGAGAGAGAGAGAGAGAGAGAGAGAGAGGGAGAGAGGGCAGTACGGGGGATTGAAGGGGTAGAGGGGGAAGGTGTGGGTGGCATAAAATAGCATAGGTAGGTTTAGTTCCTTGTTTTGAATCAATGTTCAACTGGATCTTAACACATTTAGTTTGGGAAGTCATGACCTTATTTGGGACATTAATAGATCTTTTGGTTCTAGGTTTTTAAGATGGACAAGAAATGGGGAGAGAGAGGGGATGACATGCAGCAAAGGGCCCCAGGTTGTACTGGAATCCATGGCCACTGAAGCAAGGACTCAACCTTGGTACAACCATGGCCAGCTCCACCAGATAAGCTACCAGGCCACCCCATGGGTCTAGGTTTGCATTACACAGACCCCATCAGGAAGTAACCTTCAGGACTGGGTTTGGGCACTTCACTTGATCTGCTAATCTATATATTCCTCGGCTGAGCAACAATAAATACGGCTGTGTAAGGGGCCGTTCAGATGTTGCTCCAAACTGAAAGCAACGCTGCCACAACGTGCATTTGGGTGCATCCATAGTGCACCCAAATGGAAAAATCTAACTTGTTAAATTCAGCAACTTTACCACAGGTTGTGACAAGAATTAACCAATCAGCTCCACAGGAATTGCTGCACCTTTTCCATACAAGGACTTAACAACATCAGGTTGAAAGGTCACCCAAGGTCAGCTGGAAGTCAGGGTTGGAGGGCTGAGAGAAAGTGTGTCTATATATAATGACGTCATGCTAAATGCTGTAAATATAATATATATATATATATATATATATATATATATATATATATAATGCTGTATAAGTGCATGACATTCATGGTGTCTGCATTCATTTGAATGATCAGGATAATGGTGTATTTAATGGTAATTAATACAATTTAACACAATTTTCACAACTTTTTAACAGATAAAACTAACAAAAAAAAACAAGGCAGAACCTCTTTTCTTGCCATAAATACCAGCAACATATGCCAGATTGCTGCACCCCTACTTCCAGTGCTCATGGTCCAGGGATACTCAGAGCCTTCCAAGTTTATTTTATTTTGACACAGAAAGAACAATGCCTGGAGGGATACAGGCTCAGAACTTGTGATAACTGGTGAGCATGATGATGAATTTTTATGTTACTAACTAGGTGTGCTAGTTAATGTTAGCTAATTTTGTTTGTGAAGGATTTGTGAGTCACAGAAATCACAAGAACACATACTAGAGTTTATCCTAGGAGACCTTGAAAATCCAGAGCAAATTCAATGGAGTTTGCTTTTGAGCTCCCTGGCCATGGATAAAAGTGCTCGTCAGAGAAACACTGATGGTTCCTGGATTCATTCTCTGGAGACCATGAACATACACACCAGGACCAAAGTGTTGGATGGACTTCCACTCTTTGGAGCTAAATGTACAGTTTGTCTATCTGAGGGGGTCTGAGACTGTTCCTTACCCTCTCTGAGGCGCTGGCGAGTTTGGTGGCTGAGGTGTTGAAGGTGAGAGCTGCCAGAGGACTGTCATGAGCCGGGATCATTGTCACTGTGTTCTGAAACAACCAAGAGTATGATACAGAAAGAGTTATTCCACACTGATATCGTCAGACTAGCTGCAGTTCCATCTTGCTGCAGTGTGGTTATTGCCACAAAGAAAGTAAGTCAAATCTCGAAATTCTAAAATGAATGTATCTACTAACAAGTATTCTGTGTGTATTAAAGCCTAATATATCTTCTTCCTCTGTGCCATAGAGCTTCACTGTTGTCCAGTGAGCTAAATGGTAAATGGACTGTACTTATAGAGCGCCTTTCTAGTCTTTTGATCACTCAATGCACTGTACACTACATGCCAAACTCACCCCACTCACACACATTCATATACTGATGGCAGTGGCTGCCATGCAACTGAACAGAAACCAATGTGTGAATGCAATTTGGGGTTCTTGCTCAAGGGCACTTCGACATGCAACGAGAGGGGAGACGGGGATCGAACCAACAACCTTCCGATTAGCGGGCAACCCGCTCTACCTCTGAGCCACAGCCGCTACACTGTTAAATTGTTCCTTCAGTACCATGAACAGACACACTGTAATGTATTTTGAATCCTGCCGTCTCAAATACATTTTTCATTAATGTTCATTGAAATATGTTTTTAGCCAAGAACCCCGGACCAAAGCAAAGCACTTTTTGCAGAAAAAAGGAAAAGCTACAATATAGCGTTGCACCATCATTATATGATTCACTAAGAAAGACACTTAAATGCAACATTTGAAAAATTCAAATATCAATTTATGTCACATTTTATAATTATTGCTTACATGTAATAATTATATGTATTTGTATTATGTATATATTGTATAATTTTTTTTATTTTATTTTTTTGTGCATTTAATGGCATATTAGTTTATTTATCATTTACTTACCTATTTTTGATTTTGGCAGTTGCCGTCCTTCACAGCAGACTGTTTAAAATGTAGACATTATATCTGCTGTGAGTCAGATTGTTTATTTATTTTATTATATTAGTTTATTTTATCTGTAAAAGTGTCCTGTGCAGTATTTTTACATTGTACTAAGAACATTCTAGTAATCTTTGTCAAAATGTTTATTTGAAATATATGTTTAAGTTAACGAATAATAGGGGTTGATTTACTGTGATCAGATCTAACTCTCAACATGGCTCTCAACAGTTAAAAAGTGAGTCATGACAAGAAAAGCAGCAGCTGTTTTGACCCTCTTGGCCCCAAACTTGCTGTGCTCTATGGAGCAGCACAGAGTGGGGGGAGCTTCACATGAACAGCCAGCGTGTGGCACAGATCAGCTGACGTGTTTCCAGGTACGAAGAAACCAGAGATAGTCTGAATCTGAGCGAAATTCAAAACATCACATGGTTTCAGCTGGCAGTGGAGGAAAAATAACAGCTGTTTTTTTTTCCTTCTATGTTTCTTCTATGTTTTTTCTGTAGATAAAAACGTCTCATTCTAAGGTAACAAAACCACAATGATAAATATTTTCAGGTGATTATACACTAATGGAAACATACCTATGGATATTTTATTCAATTTCTGACAATCTAAAAAGAATCTAAAAATATTTACTGTCTGTATATAAAGTATATACATAAGTATATAGTACACTGTGACCAGCTTTTTATTTTCTTAATTCATTTACCTAAAGAATCCTGCACTTTTATGTTATTTGTCTAGTGATATTGACAACCTGTGGTTGCAGAAAAAGTAGTGCCTTGATGTTGGATGTTAAGTGTTAAATGGTTGTATAACACTTTTTTATACTCTTATTATTACTAATACTACTTTATGGATATGGTGGTTATACTATGTCAGTTTTCCTAAAATTTGATTAAAAAAAATCTCAATATATGGTCTTGCTTAAAATGTCAGAATCTGCCAATACACAGCCTCCCCTTACAGATACCCTCACTGGTGTGTGTTCAATAGTGCTCTGCCTGCGCACTGATGTAGTATACTGTGTATTTTAGGACACACTGAAACCTCAGCATCAGTTCTTGGACATCATAAAAAACAGCACCATTCCCAAGACCAAAAGGCTTCAGGTCACAGAAAAAAAGTTATCCTACAAACAGACGGCAGGGAAGGTGCCTTTAGTGCGAACAGACAAACAAGTATCAGATAAAGGACAAGATGACTTGATATGAAAAACAGTATCACTGCCGTCCCCCGAGTCGGCTCGTGTTCTGGCAATGAGTTCAGCCAATAACAAAAATCTAGATGGATAAATAGCACTACAAGTGCTATTGTACAGAATTGTACGTCATAACCTTGTCTGCCAGAAGCTGTCATACAGTGAATTTGTATCCAGATGAAGCCACATTTTTATCATCCACTTTGGATTGGAAGGGGAGGGTCAAACAATGGAGTTGCGATTTGCAACTTCACTGCTAGATGTCACTAAATCCTACAAACCGGTTCCTTAAATTACAGTTTTGGCTGATAGTGAGGACTTTACAATTCTACTGTATATGCCAAGCATATGGACACTGAATGAAATACAATAAACAATGTAATAATCAGCTGGCTCCATTTTAAACCACAGAGGATCACAGATTGTAGCATAATATTTGAGGTGTTCTGTGATGACATATTTCTTACCAAGTTGTTGGCATCATACACTATGATCTCCCCAATGGTGGCACTGCCGGGGTACGCCAGGTACGAGTTGGAATGGTTGGTAGAGAGGGCACAGAGACCTGTGAGAGGAGAGAAAGAATAAATGTCAAGTTCAGCCTGAATAGTGCTTCATGGTAAATGTGAGTAGTGTCTGCCAGGGTAACATTACTTGGTGGGCAAAAGACTAAGACTCTTGCTCTGATTGGTTTCTTTCACTGAGGCCGGTGGATTCTTGCAAATACCATGTCCTAGGAGCATTAGGAGGAGCCAGAGGAACCTGATTTTATTCACAGATTATCTGTCTCATGTTCTACTGTCAGGATATAGTGAAAGTTTCAGCAAATATGACAGAAAGGTATTTTTATAAAAATCACCTATTGAAGCTTTAAAGGACATTATTTAGCTCTACAGAGCTCAGGGAACTTACAGAGCCGGGTGATAATTTTCTGTGGGTTCATCACTACCAGCGACCCTTTTCATGTACAAGTAGTCATGTGATCCATTGTTAACATCATGTAACGTTGATGATGGCTGCTTTAAAACTAGCTATACACCAAAGGGCGGTTCCACTCTCTTCCTATGAATGTCTTACCTGAGGGGTTAGATGGAGTGTTGAGAAGAGTCTTCAGCAGCTTCATGTCTTTGATGTTGTGGATATAGATGGACTCTTCAAGGCACACCATGAGCCTCTGCAACACACAGCACACATCAGGTGAGTCATCAGTGAAATCCCACTCATTATAGGACCATACTGTGCATCACAACAACATCTCCACTGTCAATTAATACCACAAAGGAAACGCCCAGCAGCAGTGCTGCTCAGTGTGACATGAAACACTACTGTTCATTTCATTATAACATGCAAAGATCATATTTCTGTCAACAGACTACCTGGTGTGTTCTGACAGTGAGCTTATAGTTCCTTGTTGCAGATTTCAGTAACATGAAGCGGGGTCTCTTGTGACTTACTGTATGCATTTGGACATTCCATGTACGCTGATTTTGTGTTTGGGCCCTTCTTGGTGGTATCACAAAGTCTGGGAGTGTATCTTTAAAAATGACTGAATGAGAATTAGGTTCCCGTAGCTTCTCAAAGGGTTTTTGAAAACGCCCTCAAACAGGAAGCTAGGTCATAACCCTGCCGCTCCATGTTAAAGTCAATCTAATTTTTCCCAAAGATGGTTTCTGTCATTTTAGGTAGTTCTTATGATTCTGATGTAGGTTCTAATGTAAATTTTTCTGATAAGTGTGGTTTTAATTAGTAATTTGAAGCTATAAAAAGTGGGCTTCACTTCATGATTGACAGCTCAGCCCTGGCTGCGACTGAGTCAGCTGGGTGTATGGGCGGGACCTTCATATCCTGGCACCAACCCTGATGATTAGTACACAGACTGTGACTCCAGATGACATCATAAGATGGCACCAGCCATATCCTGGATATTTTAGCTTCATTTTTGTACAGTGGGAGGAAATGGAGACCGTCCATCTTTATATTGTCACCCATTACACCCTTTTCTCCAAAGAAGTCATTTCAGGATTAAAAAGATGGACCAGGACTTCCGGTGATGTCAGGTAGGAACAACAGCCTGATCCCCGGCTGCGGGAAGAAACCCTCAAGAAACTAGCCAAATCAGTATTTAAATCTAATTAGTCACTTCGTACCAAGGCCAGGATGTCTACTATAAGAAAAGATGCAGAAAAGAAAAGCAAAGCGGCTAAAATAGACGAGAAACAAGACCAAACAGTCACCGCTTTACCTACACGTGAAACTGGTGCTGAGAAAAAAATGGCTGCGGTGCTTGCTGAACTTTGTGACCTGCGGAGAGAACATTCAGAGGCATCTAAAGATACGAAGGCCACCAGGGTTGAATCCACCCTCGATGTACGACAAGACTGGAACAACAAGTAACGAATGTGGAACAGAGAGCGAGTGACACGGAAGATGAAGCACTCCAACATGAGAGAGCCATTTGCTACTTACTTCAAAGAGAAGCTAAACTGTCTGCTAAGTGTGAAGACCTCAAGTCCAGGGCAAGACGGAATAATTTGCGCATATATGGAGTGAAAGAGGGAGAGGAAACGAACAATATAATTAAAAGTTCATATCCAACTTGATGTGCACTTTGCTTGAACTACCGGAGGATTTGGACCTGTGCCTGGAGAGAGCTCACCGCTCGCTGACCATGAAACCGAAGGAACCCGCCCACCGAGATCCATCATAGTCTTCAGTAAGCCTGGAAAAAACGGAGGGTTACACATCAAGGACAGAAGATCTTCTTCGACCAGGATTACACATCGGACGTACAGAAGAAACGCAAACAGGTACAGGAGGTGATAAAACAGCTTAAAGAAAAGAAAGTGAAAGCCCAATCACCGTTCCCTGCCCAGCTGAAAATCCACCTGGAATCTTGCGTGAACCTTTACGACCCTTTCAGAGGCGGCCCCAACACTCATGAAGATGGGAATTAATGCCAAGGTGGATGAGCGGGAGGATCTCCAGAAGGAGCTGCTGCACAATCCCCTGGTCACAGCATCGGCATCAAACAGAGCGGGACTTTTACTGATGACCAACGCGGACATGCAGATTTTTGTTCGAGGTGAAAATTGAAGGCAAACAACTTTGAGAGGTAAATAGACTGATAATAAACTGCTAAATAGCACTGCCAATAGACCAGGCTTACAGGTTTCCTTGCTTGGTGCTTAGTCCAACTTGGCTGGTTTATATAAAAATTTTAAAAAAGTGAAAAATAACAGGGTTTCTCCCTCAGAGGATGAAGGGTATTTATTTATTTATTTTTATTTCACTCACAGGCAACTCTGTAGATAGTCGCAGTAGCACAAGTGTCTTCCCCCGGAGAGATTTTAGTCACAACTCTCCGTCTTTACAGAAGCTGGTTAGCAGGATGTTCGTGCAACCAGCTGGGTTTTTGGAAGTTAGTTCTCATTTGTTTATATACAAGTTCTTTCTGTTCATCATGTTCAAAGCTTGTTCATATCACAGTAACAGATGTGCAGTCATATGTTGTGTCTCAGGTACTTAACAGGTGCATTATGCTGAAACTGAGGTCTGGGTGGAAAACAGTAATTGAGGATAGGATGAACACTTTTGTTCATACATGAACAATTTGACCATAAGTACGTATAATGTCCATGGACTGAATCATCCCATTAAAAGGAAAAAAATATATAGTCAGTTGTGGTTCCTAAGTCTTAAGTGAACAGGGCCGAGCCTTCAGTTACCAAGCCTCTCCTGTGGAACCAGCTCCAGTTGTGGTTCGGGAGGCAGACACCCTCACCACATTCAAGAGTAGGCTTAAGACATTCCTCTTGATAAAGCTTATAGTTAGGGCTGGATCAGGTGAGTCCTGAACCATCCCTTAGTTATGCTGCTATAGGCCTAGACTATCGGGGATTTCCCATGGTGCACTGAGCTCCTCCCTTCTCTCTCTTTCTGCACTCATTCATGTTCCATTAATGCATGTTACTAACTCCACTTCTTCCCCGGAGTTCTTGTGCTCTCGTCTCGCAGGTTCTCATGGATCCTGGTGGAGCCTCCTGCCATGGTCCTGCTTGACTGCCATTGCCAATACTGTTGTTGCTGTGCACCTGTCTGTCTGTCTGTCTCTCGCTCTCTCTCTCTCTCGCTCTGCCTCTCTCGCTCTCTCTCACCCCAACTGGTCGAGACAGACGACCACCCACCAAGAGCCGGAGGATCTGTCCTAGGTTTCTGCCTTTTAACAGGCAGTTTTCCTTGCCCTTGTCGCCAAGTGCTTGCTCATGGTGGTACTGTTGGGTCTCTGTAATTAATGTTAAGAGTTCGGTCTAGACCTGCTCTATTTGAAAAGTGTCCTGAGATAACTTCTGTTATGAATTGGCGCTATACAAATAAAATTGAACTGAAAATGAATTGAATTTAAAAAATTGCATTGTTCAATTGCCTTATTACACGAAACCCATTTACCAGAAGGAGAACATAAAAAATTAAAAAGGGAATGGGTGAGTCAAGTATTCAATTCATTGTTTGGTAAAAAAAGGGGAGCTGCAATCTTAATTAACAGGACATTAGCCTTCACCTCTGAAAAAGTTATTCAGGATAAACTAGGGAGGTTTATTATGGATGTAGGTGCAATAGGAGAGGTGGAGATGTATATTTTGAACCTGTATGCCCCAAATGAACCAGACCAGGATTTCTTTAAGGAAATTGCAAATGTTATGCGGATAATGCTAAGGGCATCATGATAGTCAGGGGAGATTTCAATGCTGTACAGGATGGAAGGCTAGACAGAATGCCAGCAGGGGAGGGAGGACCCCAAACTATAAAAACCAAAACACTTAATAGTATGATTTCAGAATTAGGACTTATCGACCCTTGGAGATCTAGAAACCCTTCAGGAAAAGACTTTAGTTTTTTCTTTAATGTACATAACAGTTATTCCAGAATTGATTTCTTCTGTTTATCTCAACAGCCCATGTATAAAGTTGCCATATAGAATCAATAACTCTGAGTGATCATGCTCCTGTAACTTTAAATACAGATTTAGGCAAAGAAAATTTCTTCAGATACTGGAGACTGAATGTCTCGTTATTGACCCATACTGCGGCTACACAGGATTTAAAACCAAATTTAAAAGAATATTTCGAGACAAATGATAATGGAGAGGTGACCCCATCAATTTTATGGGGGGGAGCTAAAGCAGTTATAAGGGGAAAGATGATTCAAATTGCATCTAGATTAAAGAAAATACAACTGGAAGAACAAACTATTTAGAAAATAAAATAAAGCAGTTAGAATCAGAACACAAACCTACAGGAGCACATAATACTTTGTTAGAATTAAAAGAAAACAGGAAGGCTTTGGACAAGCTCCTCACATACAAAGCAGAGGGAGCCTTAAGATTTTCCATACCACGATATTATGAGATGGGGAACAGAGCAAGCCGCTTTCTAGCTTTTCAACTTCGTAAAATCCCAGGCTAGTCGTGTGGTTCCTAAGATTGTAAACCCTAGTTTCACACCCTAAAGAAATAGCAGATGCTTTTGCAACAATCGATGAAAAGCTATATGAAGAGACTTGATCAAAAACTAAAAATGACAATCCTGAGGCCTTTCTTTCCAGTCTGCATCTTCCCTCACTGTCAGAAGATGAAGCATTACAAATGATATCAGATATTACAGAAACTGAAATACGGGAAGCCATAAAAAAACTAAAAAACAACAAATCTCCAGGGACAGACAAACTCCCTGGGGAGTTTTATAAATGCTTCATAGATGACTTAGTACCTATACTAACTAAAGTTTTTAATTATGTTCTTGCTAGAGGAAACCCACCAAATACATGGTCGGAAGCTATTATATCTGTGATCCATAAGGGGGGTAAGGACCCGACATTTTGTGAAGGGTACATACCCATTAGTTTGCTATGTAACGACCAAAAGCTGCTAACCTATATCCTGGCGAAAAGAATGCAAAAAATTATAGCAAAATGTATTAATCCAGACCAGACAGGCTTCATCCCTGGCCGACAAGGAGCTTATAACATAAGAAGAACATTAAACATCATAACATGTGCCAAGAAAAATATGCAAAACTATATGCTTATTAGTTTTGATGCTCAGAAAGCTTTTGACACATAACGCAGGCTGTTATGGGGTTCCACCCCACATTTGTAGACTGGATAAGAGTCATATATACAAACCCAAAATCACATGTTAGAGTGAATGGATGCTGTTCAGATTTTGTTTTATCTTGAGAGGGGGGTTCGACAGGGTGACTGCCTCAGCCCTTTGCTTTTTGCTATAAATATAGAACATCTAGCTGCATTAATCAGATAGAATGATAGTATTAAAGGCATAAAAGATCAAGGTCAAATACAACACAAAATTTCTCTCTATGCAGATGACACACTGACATATATTAGTGATCCAGTTACCTCTGTCCCAGCATTAATGAGAAATTTGAAGGAATTCTCAGGCTATAAAATTAATCAATCAAAGTCAGAGGCATTAGGCAATGGCCTGCACATTTAGATAGAGATAGATAGGCAGATGGCTTGATACATAGATAGATAGATAGATAGATAGATAGATATAGATATAAATACTTTATTTATCCCCGAAGGGAAATTATAATGTTATAGCAGCTGATTAAGAGTCAATTATTATTAGAAAGTCTTATTGCAGTGGGGAGGAACAATTTTCTATATCGTTCCTCAGAGCAGCAGGGATGAATGAGTCTGTTGCTGAAGCTGCTCTTCAGCTTGTCCAGTGTTGTGTGGAGGGGGTGGGAGGGATTGTCCATGATTGCCAGCAGTTTTGCCAGCATCCTCTCCTCCACCACCTCGTCCAGGGTGACAAGCTTAGAGCCAACAACAGACTCTGCCTTCTTAATGAGTTTGTTCAGTCTGTTGGCGTCCTTTGCCTTGATGCCCGCACCCCAGGACACCGCAGCAAAGAAGATGGTGCTCGCCACAACAGACTGATAAAACATCTGCAACATCCTGTTGCAGACATTGAAAGACCTGAGCCTCCTCAGGAAGTAAAGCCGGCTCAGGCCCTTCTTGTAGATGGCCTCTGAGTTTGTGGACCAGTCCAGTTTGTTGTCCAGTGTGACACCCAAGTACTTATACACCGACACCATATCCACATCTGTCCCACTGATGCTGACAGGAGAGGGCAGGGGCTTGTTCCTCCTGAAGTCCACCACCATCTCCTTTGTCTTTGCCACATTCAGCTGCAGGTGGTTTTCCCACACCACTTCACAAAGCGATCAACCAGGTCCCTGTACTCAGCCTCCCCTCTGCCCTCCAGACACCCCACAATAGCCATGTCATCAGAGTATTTCTGCAGACACGACTGTGGTGAAGAGGAAGGGAGACAGTACAGTTCCCTGGGGGGCCCTGATGTTACTAATCAGACGGTCAGACACACAGTTCTTTAATCTCACAAACTGCGGTTTGCCAATCAGATAGTCATCGACCCATGTGATGAGGGGAGCACCCACCTGCATGTTCGCCAGTTTGGCCTTCAGCAGTCTGGGCTGGATGGTGTTGAAGATGCTGGAGAAGTCGAAGAACATGATGCGGACTGAGGTGTCAGGTCTGTCCAGGGAGGAAGAGGCCTGCAACAGGTAGATGATTGCATCATCAACCCCCACATGAGGCTGATATGCGAACTGCAGGGGGTCTTGCGATGGGCACACTAATGGTTTGAGGTGTGCCAAGACCAGTCTCTCCATGACCTTTATGATGTGAGAGGTCAGAGCCACCAGCCTGTAGTCCTCCAGTGTCACAGGACGTCCTTTTTTGGGTACTGGGACCAGCCAGGATGTTTTCCAGAGCACTGGCACTCTCTGAAGGTGTAGACCTAGGTTGAAGAGGTGCTGGAAAACTCCACAGAGCTGGCTGGAACATGCCTTTAGTACGCGAGGGCTGATGCGGTCTGGTCCAGCAGCTTTTCTCTGTTTGAGCCTCTCCAGCTCTCTCCTCACTTGGCTGACTGTGATATGAAGTCCAGTCTGGGGGGTGGGGGAAGTGGCAGGGTCTGTAGTGGGTGTCAGCAGTAGAGTGGGGGTTGGGGATGACGAGGTTGATACAGAGAGGTGTCTGCTGCAGGAGGTGGTAGGGGGCTGCGGGGGCTGTGGGAGTGTCCTGGGGTTGTTGCTCAGAGGGGTAGAGGGGCTGCCAGGGGTGGGGGAGCTGAAGTTAAACCTGTTGAAGAACTGGTTCAACTCGTTTGCTTGTTGTTGATTCCCTTCAGCTGCACCCCCACCTCTCCCCTGAAAGCCGGTGATCTCTCTCATCCCACTCCATACATCCCTGGTGTTGTTGTACTCCAGTTTTTTTACTCCCCCTGATGCTGTGTTTGAGCTCTCTTTGTACACGCTTGAGTTCTGCTCGTCCCCTGATCTAAAGACCCTCTTCTTCTCATTGAGAAGGGCCTTCAGGTGGCTGGTTACGCACGGTTTGTTGTTTGGGTAGCATCGGACCTCCTTGGAGGGGATGGAGTTGTCAATGCAGAACCTAATGTACTCAGAGACACAGTCAGTAAAGCCATCAATGTCCTCCCCGTGTAACTCATACAGAGCATCCCAGTCGGTGGCCTCCAGCGCTCCACGCAGTGTTTCTATGGCCTCAGGAGACCATTTCCTCACTGTCCTCACTGTGACTGGTTGTTTCTGGTTGTTTCCGTACAACGCAAATCACACAAAGGTGTTGCTCACCATGCCCCCACTGGCCAGGGGCTTGAATCGATTCAGAGGATTTAATGAATCGATATTGAATTGGGAAAAAATATATTGCAATGCATTGATGAATCGATATTTTTACCCACCCTTACCGCCGTTGTAACAGGTGCCATTCCAGAATATGAATATTCTAATCAGGGGTTTAGCTACTTGGGTATCATCATAACACCTAACACATCATAGCTGTACAAGGCCAACTATGGCAAACTGATGGGCGAAATAAAAAATGACCTCACAAGATGGGAAGTTCTCCCCTTATCCCTGATAGGACGAGTGGAAATGATACGAATGAACATATTACCAAGGCTGCTCTTTGTGTTCCAATCTCTACCCATAGAGGACCCCACCTCCACATTCAAAATAATCAATAATTGGCTATCTAAATGTATATGGCAAAACAGAAGACCCAGAATCAGATTGAAAAGATTGTTATGCACAAAAGAAAATGGAAGCCTTGATTTACCTAACCTGAAAAAATATTATTGGGCTGCTCAGCTTAGATCATTGGTTGCATGGATAACTCAAGACAACGATACTATATGGGTTGGGATGGAACAAAATGACTTGCCCCTAGACACAATTCCATTTATGAGTCAAGACACTTGGAAAATAAATAAAATTGATAATCAGTGGGTGAAAACCACTTTAAGAATATGGTCCAATGTGAAGAAGAAATTAAGACTCCCGGTGTCAATATCTAGAGCAATGAAAATTGCACAAAATACAGACTTTCTTCCATCTAAATTAGGAACAGGGTTCAAGAAATGGGAGCAGAATGGCTTAGTTATGTTGGACCAATTATTTGACGGAGGAGTCCTTATGTTCTATGAGCAGCTCAGACATAAATACAACCTTCCAGCCCATGGTTTTTTTAAATATCTCCAACTGAGACACTATTTACAGAAACACAAAGAATGGGACAAACTATGCACTTTACCTAATACCTCTAATATAGAGGGTATAGATATATTTCTTTAATTTAATTATTAAAGGGACTAATAAAAAGAAGATTATATCACACATATATAAGATACTTCAAGAAGAACTGATAACAGTTTAGATATGAAAAATGGGAACTGGAAATGAACACCATAATTCAAGATAACAGCTGGGAATTGTCATGCAGAGAGGGTCACAAAATTACAAATAGCCCTATCTGGAAGGAATTTGAATGGAAACCTAAGATGAGGTTCAGGACTCCTGTCGTCACATTAAGATTTGTGGATAACTCAAATCAGTGCTGGAGGGGCTGTGGCCTGGTGGGAGACCACACACATATATTCTGGGATTGTCCGAAACTGTTAAGATACTGGCTAAACATACAAAATAAAATAAAAAAATGTTTAAATGTAGATCTTCCCTTAGAACCATCTTGTTTTGTGTTAGGAATATTGCCAGAAGATCTAGAAAACAATCAGAAAGTATTGCTGAGAGTCCTTCTTCTAATTGCTAAGAAAATGATTACAATCTCCTGGCTGAGGCCGCAGCCCCCCACAGTAGCACAATGGAGAGAGAAGGCTAAGGATGTTTACTACATGGAAAATATAACCGCAAGGTTACACTTGAAAACAGATGTATTCCTGAATAAATGGTCCCCAATTAATATTTTATTGATTGATATGATTTTTGATTTGACTGATGTGGGTTTGTCTTCTCCCTGCCATTCAATTATGAATAATGTTTGTATACTGTATGTTCATCCTCTCACTCAGTGAATGAACATCACTGCCCACTTTCAAATATGGACTCTATCTGGACATTGTTAGGATGTCAAAATCCATGGACTACCTCTACCCCATTTTTACACCTGTGTTGTATCCTTGAACGTGTGAATGTATATGACTGCACCTGATAAAGGGAAATAAAAAGAAGTTCAAAAAAAAGAAAAAAGAAAGATGGACCAAAGGGCTTCAGAGTGTTACATAACTGTAACTGCTGATAACTTGCCTACACAAGTCTACAGTGTGCACTAACTCTGTGAGGGCACAGCGGTACGTTGAACTAAATACTAATGTCAGGCCAGATGCAATCACAGTATACACTATAACAGCGTAGTAAGTAACTTTAAGTATAGTAAGTAAAATAACTTTCCCAGGTCATCAAATACAGACACTGAGATGAGACTCAACAATCAACTATCTTGGCCCAAAAAATTTTGATACATGATATTATCGCGATAATCATGAAAATATACGTAATACTTTTAAAATGGCACTAAAACTCACTTAACCTTACATTTTAAGAAACATATTTATTGCATCACAGACAGAATCTCATCTTATTTTGGAATCTATACTGTTTCCACACATCCAGTTTAATGTTTTTTGTGGGGGATACAACGGGTGAGCCGAGCCTTCAGTCATGGTGACAGGATTAGGATTTTGGAATGACTAGAAAGATGCTGGCTCCCGCTTGTCCCTTTGTTTAAAAAAATAATCAGGAAATCAATCTAGGACTGTATGCTGGAGAGAAAAACAGCTTTGCGGCTGTGGCTCAGAGATAGAGTGGGTAGTCCACTAATCGGAAGGTTGACGGTTCGATTCGGCTCCTCTCGCTGCACGTGTAAGTGTCCTTGAGCAAGCTATACATGTAAGGATATTCACAGTCATCCTGATAATGGAAATTCTGTGCTTTTATTGTGATACACCATAATATCGTATGTCATCCCATCCCTAGTAACTATAGAGATGAAGTACACCGTTATCTGTATCTGCATCCATACTGGGCGTTGCTTAAAAACGGACATGGGTGGGACTTCCCTGAAGTTGTTCATTTTAGCCTAAAATTGCTGCAGGTTGATCAGAAGTTGCTATATTTATTAAAAAACTATCCACAGAAGGACCTCAGAATTGAGCTTCAGAGCAACTATCTACAGCAGTTTTGTGTTAATTATAAAACGGATATTGACACATCTTACTCTGATAATACTAAAACATTATTATTATTATCTGTACCAGATACTCGTTTCAGCCGAGTAATCGCTCAACCCAAGCTTACTAACTGCAATTTATGTAGTTACAGCACCTTAAACATACGCAGACATGTTGAATGGAGATGAGGTAGGTGTCTGCTGCTAACACTTTTACTGTAGCTCAAATCAAATCCAGAGTGCAAATGGTGGCAAGAAGGTTTAGAAGAGAGATGGGTAAATAAGATGATTCAGCAATATGGGATGCTATGACTCAGAGGTGTGATGAATCATATGGTTAGACCGTAATATTCAAAGGTTGTGGGTGTGAAAATAGTATAGCTCACCTGTCTGTTGAGCTTGACAGCCAGGATGTTGTTGGGATAGCTGTAGTTGCAGATCTCCGTCCCCTTCTTGAAGTGGTAGATGTTCATGCGCTGTGGCATGGCGGTGCTGACCACGACTACCAGACTGCTAGAGAAGAGACGCTCCACGATGTAGACATCTGGAGTCTCTGCTGGGGGAAAACAGGAAGCAGACAGACGGGCAGTGGTGAGGACACCACTTTAGGACACCCAGATACAGACATTAAAATACCAAAACCTTCCCTTGAAAGAGATACAGACACTGTAACCGCTTTAATTTCACACTATATTCTTTAACATAAATCACCATCTGTGGCTACACATTTTGACAAATAAAGGCAGGTCTCAATTAGAGGCCTGGTCTGGATTTGTAAAAGTTCTTTGGATAGATAAAACCTCTTAAAACCCACCGGGTTGCCCACTTGAGTGAGTTCTACGCTGCTTAGATAACCTACACAAATATAAATGTTAAAACATTTGTCAATATGGCCATGCTACACATTGGTCAGTAAGATTCTCCACAGCTCAATCCTCCAGCTCATTTTACAGAAACCATGAGCACCAAAGTGTTAAATGATCAAATGAGTGATACCTTATTCTTTTGTTATTCAATTGAAGTAATATTCATACTGCTGATAGTAATTCCCATCTTTGCTGAACAAGAGTTTTGTGCAAAAGGAATTAAAGGCCTGTTCCAGATAAAGGCTTGTTGGGTTCAGTGATTGAAGCAAATACAACTTTAACTTACAACTTACAAAATTAATTCAAGTTTTACAGTATACTAAATCAAATAAACTGCGTTGTATGTAGAGCCTGACCAATATCAGCACACAGGCATGGGACGATTTTAAGTCACAGTTATCCTGGCTAAATTAACCTGATTATTGATATTACCATGATACTCATCAAGATATACTTAAAACTCATAAAATGGCACTCAAGTCAGACAGCTTCTTTAAGTCACTCGTGAGGATATCCACGATGATCACAATAATGGAAATTCACCATAATAATGGTAATGTTTTTTATTGCGATATCATTCCATCCCTATCAGCAGGCTAATGTTATCAACTGTTTTAAGCTTACCAAAGAGCAGTGCCTGAAATGGGCAAACACTCACCTGTACTGAGTACCGGCACTTCTTACTGAGCGCTATCTCTAGTGAGCGTGGCCATAACCACTACTGGTGTCACCAAGGTCTGGACCTCAGTATTTGTCCGAGTGGTAAACAATAAAAGTTGTGAAATAATTGCCAAAAATAACTACTTTGATACTTTGATGCAAGCCCCCTCGCCACTCAGCAAGTTCAGCTTCTGCATGGCCGCTGTACTTCTAAAACCCTGCGTACAACAATGCAGGCGAGTAACTGTGTCTCCATGTAAATACAGCTAGCTTAATGCTAAGAAAACAGCACTGAAAATGAAAAAGAATTAGGGTTAATAAGGAACAATGCCATGATATATATGCTCCACAACGTGAAACTCTCCCAGCTAATCTCCACATGTCAGGTTGACTTAACCAGACCACGTCAGACAGCACACCAGACTGGACCTGACACTGCAGACTATAGACCAAAACACAGCTGTTCTGGGAAATCTCTCTTCTTCTTCGCTGCCGTGGGAAGCTCCTGCCAAAAGCCACGAGCACTGTGTAATTACAGTAAGTTGGGCCTTGTCTTCCAGTCACGGAAACCCTAAATTGACCCAGTGAGTACTGTGATGTGGAGACAGGCAAGCTTCCCTGAGGTCGCCTTGCAGAGATAATCACCGCCTCTGTTTACAGGCACAGAGAATTCTCTTCCCTCCGTTATTCACTGTGGGCCAACACACATACATCATAATTATGTTGAGCTCATATTGTGATGAGGTTGTATATTTAGCAGGAACCTGGTTCAAATGTCTTGCTTCCGCCCACATTTAACTGGAGGCTAAGGTTGTGTTTCCATCATGTTGTGGGAATGTTACGCACATGTGCAAAAGTTGGCAAGAAAATGCAGATAAGTATTTCAGCTCACTGGAGGTAAGAATATATTCTAAAAAAAAAGTTTTTCTTGACAGCCCTTGCTGACAAACACTCATATAATATACCAGTTAGGTCTAATATTGACACCATTATCACATTTTTCTGCCTCTTAAAAGGCAGTTTTTCCTTGCCCCCGTCGCCAAGGTCTTGCTCATAGTAGTACTGTTGGGTGTCTGTAAATGTTATAAGGAGTTCGTTCTAGACCTGCTCTATTTGAAAAGTTATGTTCATAACTTCTGTTATGAATTGGCGCTATACAAATAAAACTGATTTGAATTGAATTTAAACCGAGTTTTATTCCTCCTTGTTTTATGATGCAGCTACCAGGACATTTGGTCATTTTAATCAATTTCCAGGTGTTTCCATGACTGGAAAACTAGGCTCTAAATTTCCAGGTTTTCCAGGACATGTGGGAACCCTGTTCCCACCTAACAAAGTCAGGTTGCTATTTAGCATGAGCCAACATGCACAATAGCAACACCCTGATTCTGTTTGACCTGAATGGAACAGAACCTGTGTTTATCCTACTATTTCAGGTCAAAATGGCTGCTGTGAAAAAGGTCTATTGCCTGCAAAGATTACATTGAATATTTGATACCAAATTCACTACTTTTTAGTTTTCTTTTTCCTCACAACACTATGGGTATTTTTGATGTCAAGAAAAACTGTTATCTAGTATAAGTATAGAGATAATTTATTTCCTTTGTGTCAGCAGTTAGCTACTGTTGTGCAGTACAAGACTGAGGGGGAATGAACAGTTGAAACTCGTAGCAGGAGACAGACCTAAGCAGAAACAGCCAATAAAAGAATGAAGAACAGACAGATTGCACACTGTGGATAAATGTAACTCAGTGTTTCTTTTAGGGAAACCTGAGGAGACGCGACATGGCCAAACATGTGAGCTCATCAGCAGCAGACGGCTCAGTCTGGAACAGACTGACTAACAAAACAGCTCAGTTTACACGGATGCTTTCATCCTGTTTGTCCCGTAATGAATGAAACTCCACCAGGGACACATGGATGCTGGAGTTCATGCTGCATCATAAAGTGGGACAGATTACGAGATAAGCTCAGTAAATTGTCGGTCAAATATAATCATATAACACATCATATGTGTGCGCAATATAAACATTTCCATTTTGTTCATTATCATTGTTCTACTTATTGCTGATGGTGATAATCAAATTATTGTTATTATTAGTATTATTGTTGCTATATTACATGGTTATTATTATTATATAAAACTAGGGATGCTCGATATTGGCTTTTCTGCCGATATCCGATATTCCGATATTGTCCAACTCTCAATTTGCGATACCGATATCAGCCGATGGATGCATTCATAAATGCAACATGGCTTTCCAAATGTAAACACTGTCTGTGCAAAATAAGAGAACTTCAACTTCCATTGTATTAATACTGAAAAGAGCGCTAACGCTAATCGCCAGCTAAGCGCTAGCTTTGGTTAATGTGTTTGTGTTAATATTAAAATCATTCAGCTTTAAATTGTTTGCTTGTTAGCCACGGTTAGCAACCAACCAGTCTAGCGTGTAGTTGTTGTTGTTATACGTCATCTAGCGTGCGCCGGTAAACATCCCATGCTGCGTTCATGCAGGCTCGGAAATGCTGAAGCCTACAGAACAAACATCGGTTATAAAAACCTGATACCGATAATTCCCGATATTAAATTTTTTTGTGAATATCGGCCGATAATATCGGAGGGCCGATATCCCTATATAAAACATATTACTATTATCCCACACTTACAATACAAAACAAATATGTACCCGTTCTAACTGCAGTAACTGCATTACGTCACTGTTATATATGAATTTCCTCTTCTTTTTGTGTTTCATAATACCAGTCAAAGGTTTGGACACACCTTCTCATTTAATGGTTTTTCTTTATTTCCATGACTATTTACATTGTAGATTCTCACTGAAGGCATCAAAACTATGAATGAACACATATGGAATTATGTAGTAAACAAAAAAGTGTGAAGTAACTATTTTAAAACATGTTTTATATTTTAGATTCTTCAAAGTAGCCACCCTTTGCTTTGATTACTGCTTTGCACACTCTTGGCATTCTGTCGATGAGCTTCATGGGGTAGTCACCTGAAATGGTTTTCCAACAGTCATGAAAGAGTTCCCAGAGATGCTGAGAACTTGTTGGCCCTTTTGCCTTCACTCTGCGGTCCATCTCATCCCAAATCATCTCGATTGGGTTTAGGTCAGGTGACTGTGGAGGCCAGATTCTGGCGCACTGGTGAGCCCTTACACGCTTGGAGGTGTTTGGGGTCATTGTCCTGTTGAAAAATAAATGATGGTCCAACTAAATGCAAACCGGATGGGATGGCATGATGCTGCAGGATGCTGTGGTAGCCATGCTGGTTCAGTGTGCCCTCAATTTTGAATAAATCCCCAACAGTGTGTTACCAGCAAAGCATCCCCACACCATCACACCTCCTCCTCCATGCTTCAAGGTGGGAACCATGCATGTAGAGACCATCCGTTCACCCTTTCTACGTCGCACAAAGACATGGCGGGGGAACCAAAGATCTCAAATTTGGACTCATCAGACCAAAGCACAGATTTCCACTGGTCTAATGTCCTAATGTATCTCTTGTGTTTCTTGGCCCAAACAAATCTCTTCTGCTTGTTGCTTTTCCTTAGTAGTGGTTTTTTCAGCTATTTGACCATAAGGCCTGATTCACAGTCCTCTGAACAGTTGATGTAGAGATGTGTCTGCTACTAGAACTCTGTGTGGCATTATTCTGGGCTCTAATCTGAGGTGCTGTTAACTTGATTTCTGAGGCTGGTGACTCGGATGAACTTATCCTCGAGCAGAGGTGACTCTTGGTTTCCTTTCCTGGGGTGATCCTCATGTGGCCAGTTTCGTTGTAGGCTTGATGGTTTTTGCGACTGCACTTGGGGACACATTCAAAGTTTTTGCAATTTTCTGGACTGACTGACCTTCAGTTCTTAAAGTATTGATGGACTGTCGTTTCTCTTTACTTAGCTGATTGGTTCTTGCCATAATATGAATTCTAACAGTTGTCAAATAGGGCTGTCAGCTGTGTACCAACCTGACTTCTGCACAACCAACTGTGGTCCCAACCCCATTAGAAGGCAGAAATTCCACAAATGAACCCTGAAAGGCAACCTGTGAAGTGAAACCATTTGGTGACTACATCATGAAGCTATTGAGAGAAGGCCACGGGTTTGCATCGCTGTCAACAAAGCAAAGGGTGGCTACTTTGAGGAATCTAAAATATGAAATATTTAGAGTTATTTCACACTTTTCTATTTACTACATAATTCCATATGTGTTCATTCATAGTTTTGATGCCTTCAGTGAGAATCTACAATGTAGTCATGAAAATAAAGAAAAACCATTAAATGAGAAGGTGTGTCCAAACTTTTGACTGGTAGTGTATGTACCGCGTTATGTTCAATTTTTTTACTTTTTATTTGTTTTCTTGTTTTTGTGTATTTTATTCCTGTTTAGCATTGTATCTGTACAGTCACTATTGTTTAACATTTGTTTTTGCACAAAAAAACAAACAAAACCTTTTACACTGAAATGTGGTTGCTCCATACTGACCACTCTCATGGATACAGTCCAGTTTTTCCACCATGGTCAAAGAGAACAGCTTGTAGCCAGTCTTTGTTCCCAAAGCCAGGGACCTGCAACACACGCACGCACGCGCGCACACACACATATACACACACACACACACACACACACACACACACACACACCATCAGTACAACTAGAAAGCATCTGTAGGCGTGTTCACTTCCACACCATCATCACACTGTCCTCCCTGGCCTTCCTATAGCAAACGCCCTAGGGGTGTAATGTGTCATGTATAGATGTGTTCTTGTGGGAACAAGGGGATCAGAGGTAACACAACTCTATATGCTGAGGAAAACCATGGTACGTAGTTGAAAGCTACAAGTACAGTTAGCAGACAGACTTTACAGCCCCCCCTCCAGTCAGAAATCAGTGTTTCTCTTCTTGTCCCTACAGTGTGCTGTGTGAATGCTGTCTGTGCAGGGTTTGACTCTAGAAGGATGTTTTCACATTCATCTGCTGAAAGTGGAAAGTTTCTCTGTGCTCATTGAAAAACTGATTTTAAGGGGCGGGGCCTACCAGCAGGATGTATGACATCACAAATAGTTTGGAAGTCAGTCCTGGTCCAGTATGGAACTTGTACAGTGTGATGTAGAAACCTTGAAGCCACCAGTGCACATCCACTGAGAATGGACTTTACAGTGAAGGAGGGCACATCTTGAGGGGAGAGTTTAATGAAACACACTATAGAGTTGCATTCTGGGAACAATCCTGTGTCTTTGGACCTTGATCCATACAAGAGGATACAGGATATCTAATCCACTGCTGCACAGATTTTGACCATTCAGTACACCTTTGAGAGTTTTTACTGAAGCTACAGTTTGAGGCCAAAAACGGACTTTCAAATTCAACTAAAAGTGTTTTTGAGCAGAAGAGCACATGAAACCCTGAAAAAAGCCATTCTACATTGTCATTATTTTCCCTAATTTGAATAATAAATACACAACACCGTATCTGGAGTCAGTGTTTGGTTTGTCCGTTTTGGGCTACTGTAGAAACATGGCGATTCAACATGGCGGAAGAGTAGATAAAAATGGCTCATTCTAAGGTAACACAGTTCATATTTTAGGTGATTGTACACTAATGAAAACACACTTATGAATATTATATTCCATTTCTGACAATAGATCCTCCTAAATGTAACATACCTGACCTTTAAGGTAACACTGTTACTGTTTAATGTCATAAAAAATTATGAGGAGTGGGGATTAAATAGGGGCCCAGAAGGACATTTCTGCCTGGAGGCCTCAAACAAGTTGCTGGAAGCAAGCATTCTACACTCTTTCTTGAAAGCAGGAAAAAAAGAGGAGGCAGGATATGGTGTGACTGGGCGACATCTGGGTTGGCGTGGTGTGAAGGGATCACAAGGGGAAACAATCTGAGGGAGGCATGATGTGATAGGAGGGACATGAATAGGCCTTTTCCACCAGCAGGGAACCGGCTCCGTTCTGGTTCATGTACCTAGTTCTGAACCGTTCGTAGCATTTTGACCAAAAATAAATTGATTCGGAACCTGCAAAATGCTTCCCAGCTGGAACCCAAAAAATAGCAGGTTTTCCTTGGGAACCAAAGTGGGCATGTCACATTCAACAGGTCATAGTGCACTGGGCAACACCCGCTATTGATGATGCATCTTACACAATGGTTGCACTAAAAACTGGTGGAAACTGTTGGTGGTTGAACAGTTCAAAATTGGATCTGCAAACCGTAACAAAGCCGGTTCCATGCAATGTGGCATTAAGTGACATGGGTGACATGGTTTTACAAAACATGTAGTAACATGACATGACATGACATAACTTCAAATATATAGTCTTCTACTATGTGTTTGCTGTGAAAGTAGAACAAGGAAAACACATCAGTACAACAAAACTGAGCTGGAAATGTAAGAAAACTGAAATGCAGTGGATGACTCCTCTATCATTTCTAATTTAAAAACTTGGGACACATTAAACTGTTCATTAAGAAAAGGACCTTGGTGGTTAACACGTGAGAAAGGACAGAATAACATATGCTCAAGATGAGACATTACTTCCCTGTTGTCACAGCCCTCAGGACCACTCATTAAATGTTCATTCGATCTCTTGTCAAACAAGTTAATCAACTTCCTGCCTCTCACCTGTTCATATTCAACCCGTATGTGCCCACTCTACTAACACTGTAGTCAGTTTAAAGCAGACGGTTTAACGGTTTTAGTTTGAGAGATCAGTTATTTTTTTTATGTTCCACCTGTGTCTTCATTCCCCACTGGGACTTCTGTACATTCCTGTCCTGTCTCATCCTGTTTATGAGCAGGAGGAAGACCCTGCCAGTGAAACAGCAGATTTTCACTCAGAACAAACTGACTGTGTGACACAATGCAGCTTTCTTCTCCCATCTTCTCCCAATTGTTGAATTAAGAGTTGATTGCAAAGAGGAAATTATAAAATCATTCAGAGAGAAGGAGTAATTATCTGAATACTCACAGCTGTTTGTTACACAATATACCGCTCTTATCTGGGATTACTCAGCACTCACAGGCAGGTCTGTGTGTGACATACTGCTTATTGTGCAAAGAGTGGAGCTTAGTAAACATAAAGCTACTTTCTTTACTTATGTTTTTACTATTGCTTAAAGGACCATTGTGTATCATAATCTATTTAATGGTCGGTCCCACCAGTTTTACAGTACCTGTAGAATATGACACGCCCACTTCAGTTTGCATTATAGGTCAAGGTTAGATAAGAAAAATATGCTATGTCAAAATGTTATAAAGGGTTCAAAACTAGGTTTGCAAACCAGATCAGGGGTGGTTTCTTTTTGGTGAAAAAGGCCAGACAGTGTAATATTCTAGGCAATATGAGTTACACCCTAGAATTAGAGAAACTGGTGGACACCGCGCTTGAGCAAGGCATCACCATACTGATCCAGTGAAGCTGCTGTTACAGGCCATCAACAAAGGATACTGTGGTTACACTGGCCAGCTCCCAGATTGGCTGTGATTTAAAGGCCTATTCCGTTCTTGTGGACTCTTGGAGGATTAGCCAATGAGCTAAAAGAGATCCAAATCAATCAATTAATTAATTAATTTAACTGCTACTCCAGTAACCCTTTCCATATAAATTCCATAAAAGTAGGGGACTTGGGAGAGGCCCTAGTTGGAGTAAAAAAGTTTGGGGTATTTAGCCCATAGACTATAAATTGTGATGACTTCACAGATTTTTAAAGTGCTTTTTTCTGCTAGAGAGGTGTTTTACAAATATAAAATCTCCATGGATCATAACTATATAATATATAATACGCTGGCGGGCCTTTTCCACCAACCAGGAACCAGTTCCATTCCAGTTTGTGGACCTAGTTTTGAATCATTCATAGAATTTTGACCAAAAATAAACTGATTAGGAACTTGACCAGCTGGAACCAAAAAAATAGCAGGTTTTCCTTGACCTGAATTGCAAACTGAAGTGGGCGTGTCATATTCTGCAGGTGGCTGTGCATATGTTGATAAAATGGTTCTGCTCAAAACTAGCGAGAATGTTTCACTGCAATACCATAGGTGGGCACAACTGGCAAAAAGCTTGAGTGGTGCCGCCCTATCTGGTTATATATCTGTGGTCAAGCTCCACAAATGCTAGGTTTTTTAATTTCCCATAATGCAACTTCCACAGCTTCTTTTGTTAGGATGGTAGAGTCTCATTCGCAGGTCGTCATATACTGATGCTAGGAATGAGACTCACCAATCAACTTTATCTTTCTTGGCTCTGACTGTTTTTTTTTTTATTGAGGCCCGGTGGATTCTCGCAGATGCCGTTAGGAGCACTTGGAGGATCCAGAGGAACCAGATTTTTTCAATTCAATTTTATTTGCATAGCACCAATTCATAACAGAAGTTATCTCAGGACACCTTTCAAATAGAGCAGGTCTAGACCGAACTCCTTATAACATCATTTACAGAGACCCAACAGTACCACCATGAGCACAGATTATCTGTCTCATGTACTACTGTCAGGATATAGTGAAGTTTCAGCAAATAGTAATATTATAAAAAAATTACCTACTGCAGCTTTAAAAGTTTGTAGCCTCCGATTTTTTTCTTCAGCTTTATTTATCATTTATGTCCAAAACATACATAGCAGCAGTGCAGTGAGTTTGTAGCCTCCGAGCCTAAGCCAAGATAACCCTGGTGACATCACTATGACATCATCATTACTATTATTATCATTATTTAAGCTTCTCCAGAGAGACAGAAAATATAAGGTCTAAAAAAAAACATGTACATGTACCCCCCCCCCACACACACACACACTGATTCTGACATGTTGACTGGTGGAGCTGAATAAACGCATCTTTTGAGGTATGCATTTGTCCAATTTCAGGGAGAAGTCGAGCAGGATGAGTGTTTTCTCTCATCCCGCTCGTTATCTGCCCGCTTGCTTACGTGGAGTCTTGGTTGAAAGAGGCGCAGCCAAACCGGAGTCCGGGTCCGTCCGGTCCGCCAGGCCCGCCAGCAGCTTCTCCGCTCTCCATCCCGATTCCCAGCGACCTCCTTCCCTCCCTCCGCCCTGGATTGGAGGCCTGGGATCGGCTGCACCTCTTCGCTCGATGTCGGCGGAAGACGGCTCCAATTTGGGAGAAATGTGGACCGGCGGGTGCGTCGGTGAGCGCGCGAGGCAGAGCCGGCGGGTTTCTCTGCTGGAGGTGGACTCAAACTGTGTCTGAGTCGGGTTGTTGCAGAGGTCGGTTACCCAGACCCTGGAGGAAAAGAAAGGGGAAACAGAAGCAAAACAAGAACAGCTGACCGCGCTACGTCACATTTCCCCCTCTTACGATTGGCTGGTAGTGAAACCATGCTGTCGCTGCTTTCTATTTTGATTGGTCAGGCGTGCAATAGTGTGTTTTTATTGGCTGGCGGGGCGGAGTGGGCTTTGTTTGTGTCCGTCCTTTCATGCGATGACCACGGAGAACAAAATACGGTTAAATTCCGTTAAAAAAATACAATTTAATGTTTTCGTAGGCCTATTTGTTTTCAAAATACAGCAAGTTTCTGGTAAGACGTGATTGTATTTAGCAGTTTTTAAAATTCGTACACGTAGCCTTTTGTTTGAATAATGTGAGCTTCCAGAGTTGAACTGGTGGTTGTTAGACATTCTGAACTAAATGAACCGTGAAGGAAGCTGTATGAGTGGTGGCTAACTGTACATGCCAAATTCATCAGAAGATCCTATTTATCCCACAAAATGTCTTCTTTATGTGAATCGTGTGCGCATATTAGTTAGAGCTGGATCAGGTGAGTCCTGAACCATCCCTTAGTTATGCTGCTATAGGCCTAGACTATCGGGGGATTTCCCATGGTGCACTGAGCTCCTCTCTTCCTCTCTCTTTCTGCACTCATTCATGTCCCATTAATGCATGTTACTAACTTCACTTCTTCCCCGGAGTTCTTGTGCTTTCTCGTCTCGCAGGTTCTCATGGATCCTGGTGGAGCCTCCTGCCATGGTCCAGTGTTAATTCTGACAGCAAATTCTGATTTAGTCTCAGTCTTAGTCTTTTGAATAACACACCATTTAGTTTTAGTCATATTTTAGTCATCTGAAATCTTTTAGTATTAGTATTAGTTTTAGTCGACTAAATATCATAAGAGTTTTAGTCTTAGTCTAGTCTTAAGTCTTTTAGTCTTAGTCTAGTTTTAGTAGACCAAATATTAGCAGATTTTAGTCGACTAAATCACGGTGGTTTATCTGATAAAATAAATGTATATGTATGCTAACCTTCACATGTATTTCTGGATGAATCGTCTGTAAATGTTACTTCAAGTTGGTGGTGTTTTTACACACGGTTTACGGACGGTCTTGTTGTCCTTGTTGTCATTTGAGAAGTAGAGGTGGGCGATATATATCGTTTGCGATAATATCGTCATTGTTGTTTTGACGATGTGCAAATTTCCATTATCGAGTATTTAAATTACTTCGCCAAAAATATTGAAACACACGCAGAAACTCCTCACATCCATTAATACATGGTGCAGCAACGCTCTCTACAGCATGGCAGGATTCAGTCACACAACTAGTGGGCCTACGTGATCACATAACGTGATCACGTGACCTCTCGCTAGCATCCTCCTTGCAACAGTTTAGCAGCGCATTGTGATGTTAGAGAGAAAATACAAGCACCTGCAGTCCCTGAAGCTACCGGTACTTCAGATGATTTAGTACCGAGGCGTGGGTCTACCTCTCTGGCATGGAAATGGTTTAGTTTCGTAAAGACATTTTTAGCGCAGCGCTCAGAGCACTTCAAGTTGAAATCTGTTCAACTTCTAACACCGCTGGGCGCTCAGAAAATGAGTTTTTGAGCTCTTAGCGCTAAAAACGCGTTTGCTGGACACAAGCCCTAACTCAGACAATTCCAATCACATTTTAAAGGATATCGACTGATTATCGTTATCGCCAAAATCCCCAAAAATAACGAGATATTATTTTTCGCCCATACCGCCCACCCCTAATGTGAAGTGTGACCAGATGTCAATTCTTCGTTTTCGTCCTAGACCCAGCTCTGACATTTCTGTTGTTCATGAGACATGCCATTGCCGTCGGACCGGGTGCACTGCAAAACGTTAGCGTGTTGCTAACAAGCGAAGTCAACTGAAATCAGCCAAAGCTGTGTAACTAAGACTGTGCAACTAAACACAACTAAATATAATGTAAACAACTGAACTGTTGTGAAAACGTCCTTGAAACTGTGCGAAGTTCTGCAAACTCGTCTTTGTTCTCCTCCTGTGTAACTGCTGCTGCGTTTGTTTAGCTGTTGCGCCTGCATTTGCCGCAGGCAAAGCATGCTGCTTCTGTATAGATCGACCTACCCTCAAAGACTCGCTCTGATTGGATTTCTTCCCAACTTGTCCCACAAGAAGAGTAGTTCTGATTGGATCTCTTCTCCATTCGTCCCTCCCTAACATTTTCGTCTCACTTTTATTCGTTGACTAAAGTGTCAGTTATATTTCGTCATCATCAAAAGTGTCCTGAGATAACTTCTGTTATGAATTGCCGCTATACAAATAAAACTGAATTGAATTGAATCGAATCTTCTTCATGTTCATCATCATCATCATCATCATCATCACCACCATCAGTCACTACTATTAGTGTAGTTGTTGCTACTGTTGTTGCTGTGCACCTTTGTCTCTGTCTTTCTGTCTTTACCCCCCCTCTCTCTCTCTCTCTCTCACCCCAACTGGTCGAGGCAGACAACCACCCACCTAGAGCTGAAGGGTCTGTCCTAGGTTTCTGCCTCTTAAAAGGTCATGGTGGTACTGTTGGGTCTCTGTAAATGTTATAAGGAGTTTGGTCTAGACCTGCTCTATTAGATAAGTGTCCTGAGATAACTTCTGTTATGAGTTGGCGTTATACAAATAAATTGAAATTGAATATCAGCTTATACGCACGAAAGCGGTAAATGCATGACTTCTCAGTGAAGTTCTGAACGTGTTTGTCTGCCAAAGAATTAAACTTACTTAAACTTTTTCACAATAAAGCGACTGCTATGACTAGTATAATTAAATATAAATGATTTTTTATGTTTTTATTTGTATTGTGTTGAAGAAGTATGGCAGGTATCCAATCCAAAAATCCAGAGGACATATAGGCTTAAGTGTGAGCAGTTATATCCCCAAAGCCAAAACATTTTTTGACAATGCTCCTGTGACCCCCTAGTCCAACATCAAACCCTGGAGATGGCACTGGTAATGTTTTGTATAGCGAACATGCTTTGGTGTACTCCTCCCTGCCCACAAAGTGGTCCAGGTTTACCTCCAATACCATAGTACTGTCCACCCTTAGAATCTGGGCCCAGTTCCAAAATCATTACAAATTCACCTCTCCCTCCCCCCTAAGCCCTATTTGTAAGAATAATTTATTTCCAGCCTCCTCTCTCGACTTAACATTTACTCAGTGGGGCAAGAAGCAGCTTTCCTGTTTTAAAAGCTTGTACTGTAAAGAAGGGTTCGATAGTTTTGATAATATAAGCCAGAAATATGATCTTTCACTGCATCAAAGCACTGTTCCCTTCTTTCCCGGTCCTCCCTACTGAGGCAGCATGGGAAGAAATGACCCTCCTCTGTCCTAAAAAGGGACTGATATCACGGTTATATTCTCAACTAATGTCTCTGGAAAACCATGACCTTTCAAAAATTAAGAACGGGTGGGAAGGCGAGTTGATGGTTGAGTTGTCGGACAGACACTGGGAGGATGCACTACAGAGGATTAACTCATCCTCATCCTGTGCACGCTTGGGGCTCATTCAGTTTAAAGTAGTGCATAGGGCTCATTTCAGTAGGGCTAGGTTAGCAGATATATATCCAGGAACGGACGGGAGTTGTAATAGATGCTCCCTCTCTCCAGCTGATTTAACACACACGTTTTGGTTGTGTCCCCGTCTAAATCAATATTGGTCATCTGTCTTTCAAACTTTATCCGAAGTCATAAAAATTCAAATTAAGCCCTGTCCGTTGATTGCAATATTTGGTATTTCAAAGGAGAGTTTAACTTTAACCCGAAACCAATCGGACATTATTGCTTTTACATCACTTCTTGCCCGTCGTAGAATCTTACTGGTTTGGTCAGCTGCTAATCCACCAGCGGTGGCCGCATGGTTAAGGGATGTTTTATTTTTTCTTAAACTAGAAAAAGTTAAATTCACGTTGAAAGGGTCAGTCCAGAAATTTTACTTAAAATAGCATCCCTTTGTGACATATTTTGAGAAGTATTGCCTGAAGTATGAGACACCGTTTTATTTTATATTCTACTTCTTTTTCTCTACTAAGCAATGTTTTCTTTCCTTTTTTGGGGGGGGGTTGTATAAGGTTTTATTTGTTTAAGATAAAATGAAACTGGAGAACTGTTTCACTTCCTGTAAAATGTAACATCCTTGATCCTCCAATAAAAAGATTCATACAAAAAAAAAGTAATAACCAACAGAAACATATCAAACATATAGGCTACTGTAGACAAGTAAGTAAAAATGACATAAATTCCTGTGAACATCCTCTTTATTTATTTAAAAGATTTTTTTTTATTGAGAAACAAAGCACATGCACTGACATTGTTTTTCAGTTACTCAAAAAGCACTTCAGTGCTTCCATATATATGCACAAGGGTTTACAGGCAGTTACATTCCACAGAGGAGTAGGTTGATAGGAGGATGTGTTGGTCGGTTCAGCCTCTAACACCTCGAGGACTGACAACCTGTGGCGTCTCAGTGCTGCACAATAGGAGCACAAACATGTTAGAACATCTCCTATACACGCAGATAACAGCACATTATGTAGCAATGTGTTTGTGCAGCTGCAGGCTGATACTGGGATTCAATCCTGAACATTTCATCAGTGCTCCATTCAGAATATCATCAGCCTCTTTAAAAAATTTTCACCCAAACTTCCTCCAAGCCCACTGTTGATATTTTAGGTCATTAAATCAGATAAATCAGTGAGTACCTGTATGATGGTTGAACTGATCATGATTATGATAAGAACTACATGAATAAATCAATATATTTAAGGTGTCAAAACACAGTTTTCATCTTTGAGTGTGAAATCTATGGAAGATGATTCGGGCCACCTGTGAAAAATATATTTTAGTTCTTTTTTTAACTTTAAACTCAGAACTCAAATTTGCATTTGGCCCAACTAGCTTCACTGTTGACATTGGACAGCAGTAACTAGAGACTTGGACTTGAGTCAGACTCGAGTCACAATTTTGATAACTTGATGACTAGGAATTATTTTGTTAATATACAACACCATTGTTCAACACTTCTTGGCTCTGGTGAGGAGATGAATGCTGTGTGGCATCCTGGACCAGTAATGCAAATATTCTGTATATGGTACTGAGTTGTTATTATTGTTAAAAAAAAATTAAACTCAAAATGATTTCGATGATAAAGTTTGGCACCTTAAAATCCCAAATCACCATGGCTCCATCCAGACCCACACTGCTGTACTTCTCCACCTTGGCTTTCCCGCCAGATACAACACACAGCTGCCTGCAGGAATATCACAACAAATGCACACAAGGCTTACAAAAGCAACAGGTTTTATATTGTTATAACAATAAAAAAAAAACTCCGGGCAAACCATAGCTGGTCCAGTGCAGAACTGGTGATTATACTGACGAAAATAGTGAACATGGCCTCCAAAAACATAGGGAAGCCACACAATCAGCTAAGTAGTATGTATGATGGACTTTTAAGAAGTAAGGCTGACAGAATTATCAACAACCTTTCTGGAGAAAAAAAAAAACAGAGAAAAGAAGCAAAACAAGGACAGCTGACCGTGCATGGTCTCATGCTAGTGTGTGTAACAGTCTGTAAATATGCTGACAGATGTTCTCCTATGAGAGATGTGAGTCACACAAAGGGAGCATGTTCATGAGGAAGAAATCCAAATACTTACCTGGGTACATGCTGATTCATGTCTTTTAATTGCACTAACCTAACAGTACCTGACTTTTTGGAGGAACAGGGACTCCATTATTGCTGTATGCATGTAACTTGAAAGCAGTCAGAGAGTACATACCTCCAGCGAGGCCACACAGTCCTGTAGGGTAGTTTGAATAACGGAAACTCTTTATATTTTTATAAAAATATGTAACTTTCAAGTGGGTCCATGTGGAGAAAATCACACATCCTGCCTGGAAATATTAGGTTGGTGCTCTGCAATATGTCAAGTGAGTCAGGCACATGACCACACAGTGATGGCCATTTGAAATCAACATTTGAATGCAGCATTGTATGTAGGCAAAATGTCATGCATGTGGTTACAATTACATGCATTCAAAATGTATGAAGATTTATTTAAAAAAGAACCAGTGAGGTAAAACGATGGGCATATAAAAAAAACTAAACTTAATCAATTTGGGGAGACCTGATAACATTTGTAGAGGTGAAAACTACAAATTCTCATTGGCAAAAATCTGGAATGGATGGTTGAGGAGTTATGGCCCACACCATAAAGTGGCCACATGGTGGTGCTACGGGAGCCACATCCACCCTAAAAACTTTCCACTTGTTCTTCAGTCCACAGACTTTGACCCATGACAGCAGAGAGATTACAAGCACTGAGGAAGAGAGAGAGGTGGAACGGCATGCAACAAAGGTCTCAGACCGGACACAGACCAGACGCTTTGTGGCTCATGGTTGATGCCTTACAGTCGCCCTCCAGTCAGAAATCAGTGTTTCTTCTTGTTCCTACAGTGTGCTGTGTGAATGCTGTCTGTGCAGAGTTTGACTCTAGAAGGATGTTTTCACATTCATCTGCTGAAAGTGGAAAGTTTCTCTGTGCTCATTGATAATCACTCACTTTCACATACAGTTTGGAAGTCAATCCTGGTCGACTGTGCAATATTGTATATATGTCTTGTTACATGTTTGGAGGGGATCTTTAACCTCTAGGCCACCACGGTGCTCCAACCTTTCCACCAAATTTGACTTGAAATCTGCCAATGCATATTAGAAATATCCTGCTAGTAGCATTTTAGTAGTTTATAACCTCCCTGGTGGAGTAGTGGCCCTTACGTGATGCTGTTCTGGTGAAGGGTGTTAAGCTCGCTGCTATCTTCCTCAGTGGCCCTCTTGTCCAGGTTTTGGAAGTGTTGCATGGCTGACATGCTGCTCTTTAAGGTCTGTTTGGGGATGTCCAGTTTCTTTACAAACTCCAGGGCTCCTGGACCCTTGTAGGTGTACTGGTAGGGGCAACAGTCATGACCCTGGGATTAGAAATAAGATTGAGGATGTAAATACAAGGAAATATATGAATATTCAAGTTCATTATGGCTGTATCTGTGTCCATAAAGCTGCATAACGATATTTGACAACCCAAAATTAATAACAGCAAGAGCAACAGATATATTTGAAGACTTCACTGCCTTTGAATCCTGTGCGCTTGACTAAGAGGAAGGCAAAAGCAATCAGAACTGGGATAGTGGTTTGTGTCCCTATGACAAACTTTAGTCCAATTACAGAAAGGCTTACTACAATTCTACCTTTCACTTAATTATTGTAAGAATTCAAAATATCACAACATAA